TTCTAGAAGCCTGATGGGACACTTGTTATGTTGACTAGAACCAGAAGAGCGAGTCAGAGCTATTTTTACACGTGAAGTAACAACCATCTGCTAAAGTGGCATCCATTCAGGCACACTGGTTCAGGTGGCAGAACTGGAGGGGTGGCCCCTGAGCTGACATCAGAGGGTGGAGTGTGCTACTTCATCTCGTGTTGCATAACACTTTCAAATGCTTGCCGCGGGAACCTTTTTAGCAACTTACAGGACTGAGAAATCTATTTTAAACAAATGTCTAAATAGCTCATTGCATATTTGTGCGGCTATTTTTGTTCAGTTATCACTTGTCTGCTAAAATACTCTCCATCTTAAAGTGGGCAACCCTGGGGCCTCATATGGTTCAGTGTACCCACCACACCATCCAGTTCCAGCATATTTTCAGAACTCAATAAAGAAACCCAGACGTGTGAGTAGCCAGCCCCTGCTGTCCCATTCTTTGAGCCTGGCAACCACTAATCTACATTCTGTCTCCATGGATTTGTCTATTCTGAGTATTTTATGTAAGTGTGACCATACAATCTATGGCCTTGTTCATCTGCTGGCTTTCACTTGACGTATCTTCAAGGCGCATCGACACCACCTTCTTAGCTCTTCTTTCCTTTTTTGTGGCATGTAGCATACTATTAAATGGATAGTCCATGTTGTGCTCATCTGGACAGCAGCTGATGAACATCTAGGTGATTTCCACTTTGGGGTTAGTGTAAGTTTAATGCTGCAGGGAACTCTCATGCACAAGCCAAAAGTGAAATGACTTTTCTCTTATACCCAGGAGTGGGATTTCAGGGTCCTGTGGCAATTATGTGTTTAACTTTTTGAGAAACAGCTATAATAGTTTCCTCTACAACTGTATATCAAATGCTACGTGCATGTAATTTTTACTATGACATTTACTAGGGAGTGAGGCTGTATTATCAATACATCTGTGTAACTAATAATCTTATGGATTCAAAGACAAGGGGTGATATCATGCTTATACAAATAAAGCAAGTCTGAAGGTCAGAGAATGGAACTTGCACTAGCTAACTACAGAGGTGTAGAGGTTTGTACAGACAAACAGGAAGTGAGATGGCTGGACAGAAACAGGAATTGAAATGGCTGGGTAGAGAAAGGATATAAGCAGGAAGAAACGGGAACTCACTCTCTGGTCTCCCGAGAAGCTAAGGAGGTAAGGTGTGGCTATGGCTTGCTCCTTCTTCTCTCTGATCTCAGCATTTTCCTGTATATCTGACTCCGGGTTTTTATTATTTAGACCAATTAAGAATTCCATTTACATTTTGGCACCCAACATGGGGCACGAAAGCCACACCTTCCCACTTGGGGACTAATTCCAGCATCCTTCTCCTAAGATAGGGAGCTCCCCAGATGCTCAAGTCATTCATACAAAATGGCTAAATATATCTAACCTATAAGCAATCATCCAGATACCTTATGTCATTCCTGGATTACTTATAATACATTTATTGGTTACCTCCCATTACTGTAGTTCATTGTATGAAATAAATAGCATTTTTTTAAAAAGCCTTATTTGGCCTGATGGTTTTAGAGGGTTCAACCCATGTCACTTGGCTCCAAAGACCTGGGAATTGTGGTGGTAGGAGTGCATGGTGGATAACTAACCACTCATGACAGACAGGAAGTGGAGAGTGGGGAAGAGGCTAGGTACCCAGTGTAACCTTTAAAGGCACATTCCCAGTAACCTGCTTCCTCCAGTTACTCTGTCTCCTAATCTTTCCAGTTTTCTAATGCAGTACTCTACTGTTCAACTGTTTAAAACCTGAGCCTGCGGGAATATTTCATATGAAAATTATAACAATACCTACATAAAGAATTATAATCTTGGTTAACAAAGAGTGATGATAAAAATGTCTGTGCATGCTCTGTACAAACATAGGGGTTTTAAAAAAATATTTTCTATCTATAATTAGTTGAATCCACAAATCAGAGCCTGTGGATACAGAGGGATGAGCGTTTGTGAAATACAAGACCTCCCTGTGGCACTTGACTTACACCGACTTCTAGGCCCTAAGGGATAAATGGCAGCAGAGCACAGGGACCACTGTGGAATCCTCTGACTTGTTAGTAGTGGATACATAGGTGTTCACAACTTCCAAAGCTCGATGGCTAGAATACTTAAGATCTTTCCATTGTTGCTACGTTGTACTGCAGCTGAGAAGGAAACCCTCACGAGGATGATCAAGGCAAATAGTTACTATAACTGGGGGAAACAGGCCAGATGTGAGACAGCAAGAAACCATGAATACAGTGATAAACTGTTGAGTTTCATACCAGATCACAGTACGGGATTCAACCTGCCTGACCTTCCTAGGCAGTTTCCAGATAAGCCAAAGTGCGTTATTTTCTTCTCAGACTCTTCTCTTTAATACTTCACACATTATGATCATTGCTCTAATTTTTTGGCAAAATTTCATACATTTACAGTATAGAACTTTACATTTTGCTATGCAGTCAGTCCCGTGTATCAACAGGCTCTACATTTACAGATTAAAAAAAACTTCAGGTCAAAAACATTAAAGCAAAAGGAATTGTGTTTGTATTGAATAAGTGCAGACATCTCTCTTGCCATCATATCCTACTTAATACAGTATAATAGTTGCTTACATAGTATTTGCATTACATTGGATAATCTAAATAATCTAGGTATTTAAATTACTTAGGGAGATGTGCATGGGTTATATGTAAATAGTATGCTATTTTCTATATAGGACTCTCAGTGTCTGCATATCTTGGTATCTTGGTGTGAGCAGTGCTACTAAATAACACTACCCACAGAGGACTGTGTGTGCATATTGTGATGAACTGCATCAGCCTAATTAGCATGTCCATCCCCTCACATGGTTTGCTTTGGTGGGATCATTAAGATCTATCCTCTCATCAGTTTTCAAGCATAGCATGTGTTAACTACAGTTACTGTGCTGTTCAGGTTATCCTCAGAATATTCATTCTGTACATCCAGACACCTTTATTTTCATGTCAGATTGCTTTGTTTTAGAAGTATTAGACAGTAGTTAAAAAACAAATAAACAGCAACAACAAAAGAACAAAAATGAGGCCTGGGAAGATGGCTCAGTGGGTGAAGGCACTGTGTAAGCACAAGGACCAGAGTTAGGGTTCCTAGAAACACACACACACACACCTACCTGTGCATACACACATACACCCCCATGCACACAAACATACTTATGTGCACACATATTCACATACATACACATGCCAATAAAAGGGGGGGTGGTAAATACTGGATTTGGAAAAAAGTGCTTAATAAGAAATAGGCCCCGAAGGAAATAAATTTCAATAAAGAAATCTTAAGTATTTCTGTGCAAACATTGTCTCAGTTAATCTAGCTAGATCTTGTGTGGATAGTACTTGCTGTCTCTCCTGTGCATGCTTGTTCATATTTTAGCTCCTAGGTTATGAGCAACAGGCTCTTTTAATCTTGATCCATGAAGTATCTGCAGACACAGCTTAAGCCCAGGCTTTTACTGTGAGGTGTGTCCTCTGGGCTCCCGGGGGCTGTGTGACCATTGGCAGGGACCAGCCTTCCTGGTGGGATCAGTTTGGGTGTACTCTGCTAGACTTTGAGTTCTAGAGACTAGATACAATTCTGGGCGTGTATGGTTGAGATGCTGGCCCCTGTCTGTTTTGAGTGGTGTAAAAATAAGAATTTTAACTTGCATATAGTTACAAGACTAGTATATTGCACATGCCTTAGTTTTAGCCTTCCACTTGAATTTAATAAAGTTATCACCTCACTGAATGTCTTGCAAGGTTTATTCTTACTTTTGTTTTTCTGTCAGCATCTGAATATCTCAGGTGATGGAAGTGGTTCAGGCCATTAGAAATAAGGAACTAAGTGAGATATGAGCCCTACTTCAAGAGAATTTGGAATTATGAGAATTTTATCTAGGTTAAAGCAATATCTATTATAATACTGGCTTTAAAACATGGTGTGGAACTAATGCTGGGTTTGCTATTTAATGCTTTGGGATTTGTTTCCATGACTTTTTCTAGAAGATTCCAACTCTGTCCCTTCTAACATTAAAGGAAATTGAATGCTGTATTTTTTTTTTTACTATAAATTGCTTATTTTGTAATTTCACATTGTGAGTTGTGCTGTGCTGTTTCTAATTAAAGCAACCTTGGCTTTGCCCACAAGGGTTTGATATCTGTGTCATTTATCAAGGGCCTTTTTCTTTAAGTCTTCGGTGCACTACCCACATTATTGTCTTGTACTGTTTTCAGTTTTGGGTTTGCATTAGTGTGCTCAGGGTTACATCACACGCGTATCGTGGATGGGGTTGGAGATACTGAGTAACTGTACTGTGCATTGAAGCAGAAAGCCACTAAACAAATGCTCACTCATCTCATAATTTCAGAGTAGCTTTTTTTCTTTCTATTAAGCCAAATGTGGAATTTTTTTACATTATTATGGACCCAATTATACAGGGTTTTTTTTTTCTGTTGCTTTCTTCTATTAAAGTCTTACTAATTAGAAATCTACGATGGCCCTGCTTTGTTCATTCCAAGTTTAAAAATGGGTAGTTATAGTAACCCATGTAGACCATCATGACCTGAGAAGAACTGTTGTCATTAGGAAATGGATGCAGGCCCATCGTTTCCCTTTTATATGATCTTCTGTGGTTTTCTTCCCACTCTCCCCTCTACGTAACCCTGAGCTTCCCTGTACCTTGGAGGAGGCATATGGACACTCCAATAAATAAAGCTTCCTTGAGTTAGAGGCAAATCACTATTGGAGACGAAAAAGAAATTGGAAGTTTTTATTGCCTTGTATGATCCTTGCTGCCACAACTAGTTTTAAAAGATGTAATACTGCTACTAGTTATTTCATTCGGAACTATTGCTTTAAAATAATCATTTCATTAGATAGAGGTTTGCGATTGATAGTAAGGAAATGTTCCTTAACCTGTCATCCTTTCTCTTTGCAGTTCTGAGAAATGGTGCTTGGGAAATTGTTCACTGGGAGAAGGTACGCATTCGTTTTCATTTTGTTCCAGAAGAAATGCACAGAGGTGTACTTTATAGGAACAATGTCAGCAGCTCCACTAATGTGGACGCTGTTGAGTAGTTAATGTACACATTTGTAAAGTCTCTGCTTAGCTACATACACTAAGCATTTCTGTACTCTTCCAGCAAGGCCATTCTTTTGGAAAGCACTGTCTAGAACATTTTTCTTTCACAGTGCATTTTGAGTACTCTTTTCATAGATTTTATTTTGTTTTGTAAATTTTGCTTTAATCATCTACTGTCCAAGTTTAAAAAAAATCAAGTTCTGATATTTCACATTTGCATGTTTTAGTTTAAATTCATATGTTGAAGTCACCCCATTTACTTATTACTACTATTTTTAAGAAAAGTTAATCATACAACTAAACATCATTTTCTAATGAAGAACGAGTCAGTTCTGTGTTCCAGAAGGAGATCTGCTAGCTGGCCTCTGTCTCAGCATTTAGTGAGTAGATACATAATTTGGCAAGTGTTACCCAGGTGTCCATTCTTGGTAGGCCTTATTTGCAAAAGGTAAGCAACGATGATTGTCAGTCCTTACTTAGTTCCAGAACTTGGATTCCTCCAGTCATCCACAGTAAATGGCCTTGATGATTCATTAGATGGCTTTTTTGGAGGCCACTGCAGCGAACACTGGACAGTGTCTTGCTGAGACAACAAAACTGTTGTCTGCCGCCCATTCATTTACACTCCATCAAAGTCTGTGTACTTGATTCTCCATTCTGAAATTCGTGGTCACCTTCTGTCCATGAAGGAATAGGATCTCTTCTCAATAAGAAACTGATTCCATTTTTGTTGTTGTTTTTTAAATCAATGACTAGACTAGGAACTGGTGTCTCTTCCAGAGACATGGAAATTCATGTCTCCCTGCTTTCTGGTCTTTGACATTAAACTAATAAGGAGGAACATACCTTCATGGTGTTGTATTTCTGTGGTAATCAGCGCTGTGAGAAAGGAGAAAAATGAGACAGCTGACAACTTCCAGGAGTCACGTGTTTTATGAGCTCAACTGGTAGCTCTGGATTTAGGCATTTTATAGAGAAGACAGAGGGAGTGTAGTCAGATACAATGGATTGAATTTGGATGTATTACATTACTAGGGTTATCAGTAGAGTTCACAGAAAGGCACTTTTTAAAATCCCTATGTCAGTTTTTTTTTTCTTCTTGCTAAGACTTCTTGGCTCGGGGAATACACAGGCAGGCAATAACTCTCTTCTGCTGCACTGTAAAATTAACCTTCAAATGCTCCTAATGACAACCATTATTTTGAGGTTATGCTAGTCTACATGGATTATTGTAATCATCATTTTTTACATTTTTTAATAAACAAAGACAATAATAAATCACTGTGATTACTCGTAATGATAGCATTGTTGAGGTCAGGGCCAAACTTTACATGCATATTCATATTATTCTGTGAAGAGATAGAATTTAGATTGTTGTCCAAAACCCACCCAGCTAAAAAGAGCTGAAGTTATTTAGTAGTTATAGACAATTACATTCCCAAAGTTGGTTCGCGGATGAATTCAAGATAAACATACAAAACTAACAATATTTTGATGTTTGCAGTATCATTAGGAAACAGGAAAAGGATACCTCATTCCTGCTGATGTGTGGGATGCTTGCAGACAAAATCTGTGTGGCAAGAAAGCAACTGACCTCAAACTGAGTCAGTCTTCCTGACTCAGCTCCTCGAGCGAGCACTGGGATCACAGACAGGTGCTAACACATCAGCCTCACTTATGTGACACTTTAACATCATAAGAAAAGCTGCTTTCTTTCTCACCCTCCCCCAAAAGAGATTTCATATAAATGCACAAACATATGGTCTTTCAATATGAAAAACCAGAGATCACTTATTTCAGATCGTTAATGAAACATAGTCTCAAAGAAATTATCACTTTCAAAGGTAGATATTAACAAATAAAATAGAAAAGAGTATAGTGTCCTGAAATTTGGCAAAATTTGCAGGTTGGCAGGCTCAAAAAATAATACTTGAATATTTAGGTTACATCTAAATCATGATTTGTGCAAAATGAAGTTCCATCTGACTAAAAGAATCAAACACTTAAAATGCTGTTTTGAAATACAAACTAATAGAATAAAGATTTTTAATAAGAATTTGGGGAAGATCCATATCTCATAATCATGATTACATAAATTTAAACCTACATATAACAAAAGATGCCACAGATAACTGGGGAATGTATTAAATATTTGTACCAAATACAACAAAAGATTCATGTCATTATTCTTTAAGCAGAAATAGCAAAGTCGTAGTAAGGAAGAAGATATATTAACTAGACTTGGTATGATGGCCAACTAACAAAAGTTGAAAACAAAAAAGAAGTTGATGTCTCATTCATGAGAAGCTTGTATTCCAGAAATTTTATTTTAAATTGCATTGATATGCCATTGTAGACTAGTAGTTTGGCTATTCATGATGAAAACCATATAGAAGAGATCCTGATATGGTCCATCTCTATAAATAATCATGAAGTGGAAGGAAGTTTACATATGGAAAAGCATTTTCATAATATGTGAAACTAGTATACACATGCAATAGAGAAAAGACTAGTAAGTTACAACATCCTGCACCCATATTTTATGCTATATAAACCTTTAATTTTACATACTATGATGACATAGAAAATTGTATACACTCATCCAATAAATATTTATTAAATGTGTGTGCCAAGCAGTGAGTGAGCTGTAACAGAACATGTAATGGCTCCTAGGCCATAAAATATAATCATAGGTGAAAAGAATAGACCTGCCTATACTGAGCTTCCAGCCTTGTAAAAAATGATGTTATTGAGCAAGTAGTATACACAAAAGCAGACTTCCCTTTTGGCTTGACCATGTTGCTAGTTCAGTCTTGTCCTTGGGTCATGTGATACTTTGTAGAGTGAAAAATAAATTTAATTTAATCAAACCGATAATATAATCCACATGCTGATGTAATGTGAGAAACCTCATGCAAATGGACTTTGCTTCCAGGAATTTTCACTGTAAGCATGTGGGTGCTTTTAATGGTCCTCAGAGGTCCTAAAGATTTGTCACTGCACATCTAGTCATCACAGAACACCAGCAGTTCTCAGATGTTTACAGCCCAGCTCTCCAGATTGTGGGGAAGAGGAAGAGGTTTCTCTGTTACAAAAGTGAGGCTTTAAGAATCTGATTTTAAAACAAAGTGTTGCAATGACAAAGTCCCCACCCCCCAAGAAGCTGTAGCTCTTGAAACATAAGCGTCTGGCCTCATTGCTCTCACACAGCACAAAGGCCAGTTCTTCACTTTGCCATGCAGAGGATAGTACTGCTCAGGTTGTTGAGATAGGTACAAGTAGAGAATTTAGGGGAATGATCTTGAAACCAACTCATAGTTGCTTTGTTGGGAAGCATAGCATAGTGAGCTGTGTGGGTCTCTGAAAGTCACTCTACAAAACTGGTTAATGCACCCGCTCCCACCATATCTTCCAAAATTCTTGGATAAAATGCACACATATTGTTACCTAGAATTAGAAGTAGTTTGAATGTTAAACAAGCCCTTTATAGTCTGATAATTTTTACCCTCTTTTCATAATCCTTGATCCTAATTGCTCATGTCAGTGACTTGAGGAAGTTCAAGTTGGTGGAGACCCCTAAATATTTTCTTAAGGTCATCCAGTTGAGTCGTGGTCAAAGACTGTCCTCCACCACGTCCTCCCCTTGTTTTTGATTCTATAATACTGCAATGAAAAATGTCATGATAAGAGACCAGAACCGGAGGGAGAGAAAGCTACCTGGATATCTTTGAGAAACTGATCTAAAACACGGGCAAGTAAGAGTTCCCTGCTTTCCTCAAATCATGAGAACCCCTGGGGCAATGAATAAGCTCTTGGCTTTCCCAGGCTGTTAGAGTCACCAAAGCGCACCGTGTTGCGTTTTATTCAACTTAATAATAACCCCGAGGCCTTCTGTTGACTTGCATTGAATAAGTTGGAAAGCACTGCCACCACTTAGACATTTTCCTAAGTTAGATGCTTCAACCTGACTCTCTGGAGGTAGTGCAGCCCAGGTGTTATGAAGCATGTAGTTTAATGAAGGGGAAACATTAACAAAACAGAGGTGATTAACAAATGATTAAATAGTAATTGGGGTGGCATTCCCTCTAACTGCCTGGATTGCAGAGTAATCTTCTTGTTTTTGGTTCTGCTAGTTAACTGCCACTGCACATTTTTAAGGGATAGCATGTATTTATGCTTACTAGTTTTACAGTTGTTCACTCTCTTTTGAAGTAATAGGTGTTCAGTTCCAGCATCCTTGCTATTTTGGCACTTTTAGCTATGCCACATGCTAGCTTCAACTAAAGTGATTTTTCTTTTAAGAGCATGCCATCCAGCACCTTCCTGCTTGAGCAGTTAGTGTACATACTATAGATTATGAGATGTCCTCCTCAGCTTTCCCTCACCTGTTTCTTCGAGTAGATAAAACAGAGCACAATGACCCCATCGGCAGTAATTCTCTAGATTGATTCCCACTAAGGGAGCAGAGCCAGGTTGTTGCTAAGTGGGAGATGCATTCATTGTTTGACAAAAACAGTAAGAACACTGACAAATTACTTCTAATAGTTTCTGGCCACAACAGAGCTTTAACTCATCTTCATGCCATAGTCAGGGAGGGCAAAAGTAAATAAAAATAAATAAATAATTATAAAACTGCTTATTTTATTTGAATTATAATGGTAGTCTCATAGTTTCACAAAACTCTGGCTATGTGATGGGTAATGTGGATTTGAGTCTCAGCTTTTCCACTCACCCCAAACATGTGACTCGGAAACTTGGAATATTAGATGTTCTCTTCCTCTCTATAAATTAAAGTCACTATTTTTTGCATAAGGGTCATTGCATAATGGCCATCACAGATGTGACCATTTCTTCAATTGTACTAAGACTTCCTTAAGTAGGGTAGAGATTTTAGATTTTAGCCAGTGGATTCCTCCTTCTTATTTTTATGTCAAAGAGAGAGCATTTAAGAAGTTGGGATTTCAATCAAGTGGGTGTAATTATTCAAGAAATTTTATTAAGATAAATAACAGATTAAAAACAAATATGCATTTACCCCTAAATAATTTTATGCCATTTTTGTGAAGATTGGAATGGGTTTTTTTTTGTATTCATGCATTATTAATACAATGGGTTGTACTTTTTGAAAATATCTTTCCATGCAGATAATTAACCAATTCCCAGTTTTCTTTCAGGTAAATGTTGGAGATATAGTAATAATAAAAGGCAAAGAGTATATACCTGCTGACACTGTCCTTCTCTCATCAAGGTAGAGACACCTACTGATGCTCAAACAGTGTAGAGGACGGGTTCTCTACCCTGCATTGACCTTATGATTTCTCCAAGGAAATAAAGAATAAACAAAGAATTTCAAACCTCTCATGATTTTTCATTGTTTAAAATACTGATTGACTTCATGTTTGCCATACAGATTAAGTATCGGCTACTACACAGCTAAAACTTGAGAGTCTCCTCTTCCTCTGGCTACATCCACATCCTTGTGGTGTGTGTGGACCACTAACTCTGTTTAAGATTCCCTGTTGTTTGCTTTCTGCCATCATAGATTGGGCTCTGTTGATTTTTTTTTCTTTTTCAGTCCTCATTCATAAATTCCTTTATGGTGCAATAATCCTCTCTTGCAAACTTTCCTATTCATTATGGTAAAATGTACAAGAATATGGATGAGTGATTTCTTTTTGTCATTGTACCTTTCTAAATGATACAGTTTTCCAACCAAGAAATAAGTACTTTATTCTTTCTTTTCAGACTTTCCTGTTACTGAATTTAGATAATTTTTATTGTATTCACATTTAAGATAGTTGTGAATCAGTATTCAGAACATATGTCTTTAGGATTAAAAACTATCACACTAGGCCTTGTGTAAATTTAGGATTTAGAACCTTAAAACTAGTCCTAAAATAAATTAAGAAGAAATGTCTTTTAATATTCTGAGGTGGTTTATCATCATTTCCTTGGACAGTTTGATTTGTAAAATCCACATAAAAATATGGACAGTGTCCTTTTTTCAAAATGTATTTAATCAGGTCATGGTTTAGAATGATTGGATTTTTGACAAGTTAGTGAACCACAAATAGGAAACTAGTAGTTCCTTGCTATTTATAGAAACAGGTATCCAGGGATTTTAAGTAACTCATGGTGTTTTTATTTCCCTGTTTTATAACTGACATCTTTGTGTAGCACAAAGGACTGTTTTTAAGTCAGACTTTCTGGTCTCAAGTTACTTTTGTTGGTAATTTTGTCAGGGAGGGTTTCTAAAATGGAACTCTTTGCTTATTGTCTTGGCTTGGCTAGGTGAGAGCTACTTCACGGGTGAGCTTGAGGTAGCTTGGAATTAAATAAGACTAGCATTGAAAGTTCTGGCTTTCACTGACTTTCAATTTGAAACGAGCAAACTGAAATTTTAACATGTAACCACTAATACCTTTCTGTGGCAAAAACTTAAAATAGAGCAACCAAGGCTTGGTTTAATTCAAGTCCAGGCAGATTCTCGCTCTGATTTTTTCAGACCCTTCCTGAAGAATTTTCTCTGAATACAAAGGCTTACCCCCCTATACTCTCTAAAACACAATGTGTTACTTATGTTTTATTACTTATTAAATAACTCCAAATGCTGCAGTCATGCCCCTTACTGCCTAAGATACAGATCTGTGCCGCTTTCCATTAAAGTTAATATGATAGGGATGCAGTCAACTTTGAAAACATTTTGGAATCAGAACAGAGCTACTTTTGTATTGTGTGAGAGAGGGGGCTTTAAAGTAGTATACTTGTTTTTCAAATATCTAATACATAATTTTAAAATCATTACTTACTTGATAGGAGTAGACATAGAGCTTACAGCAAATGGAGTTTTGAAAAGAAATCTGTAATATAAAATAACTATAAAATGTTTTTGTTTACTTTGATGAGAAATACTTCCATGTAAGCATTAAAATATTAAGTTTTCATGTTAGAAATTGAAAATTGGGCTAAAAAATCCCCTAGATTCCTTTGAATATTGTTATTTTCCTTCAGGCCTGATCAAAATAAGTTTTGAAAAAATCGGCATTAGACATTTTTATTAACATGAAATCTTTTCTATAATAATTTCAAACCTTCTGTCTCTTTTGTCCATTTGTTTGGTTTTTATTTTCTCTGTTATTTGTCCCCCCCCCATTTTAATTATTTTAAACTGGGACGTGAAGGTGGCAGTGGGGGAAATAGTGAGAGTGACCAATGGGGAACACCTGCCAGCCGATCTCATCAGTGTGTCCTCAAGGTCAGAACCGCAGGGATTTACAGGGCGTGTGTACGTGGGTCCTCACCTTAAACCAAAGCACAATGGCACCCAAATGCGGTTCAGCTCCACCTCTTCCTTTAAAGCGCATGTGCGTGTTTTCCTAGGTGGCGCGCACCAGAGATACTTTAAAGGCACTTTATAAACACCGTGCTGGATGGACGCTGTCTGTCCCTCAGTTGGGCAGACTGAACTCCTATTACTATCAATAGGAGTCCAAAAGATTCTCATTTCCTATGCACTAGTCACATATGTTTTAACAATATGCCTCAACTTTAAGTCTTTAGCTGTTAACTCCCAGCATATTGTTTGGGACGGTGTTAAGCGTTTCACGAAATAGTCATTGAAAACCGGTTACGTTTTAAGCATGTTTTCTTACTCTCGTATTTCAAATTGTCTACACGTTCTGTGGAATTTCTGCAGAGACTGCGACTAAAATTTGGGCTTGTATAGGGTTTATAGAGGACCCCTGCACAAGGCTGGATGTCGTCTGTTTTTGTGCTGCATGCTTGGGGATCGTCTTTCCCCCACCTGTAACTTGTGAACAAGTGCACGTGGCTGTGGTTCATGTCCGCTTACCCCTGTGTGTCTGTGCTGTGATGTGCATCGTGTTTCGTTTTCCCATTTACTAATCCAAACGCTTGCTTTGCCTCTGACTGTAGTTTGTGTCTTGGATGTTTCATGACTTGCTGAAGTATTTATGAGCTAGCATGACTCCTGACTCTTTCGCTTCTTCACAATCCTATTAGAGCTCCTGTAGACATAACTGTCTTAAATCATCATTAAGAATGTTCCAAATTGGGGTGTACTTGATTGGATAAGTATATTTGTTAGTAACATTTTAATGAGTTTTGCTGCCTAGAAAAAGAATTGACGGTCTCATTTAGTGTTTTGTTTGTCACCGTTTTTCTTTGTTAGCGGAGAAATGTGTTTTACAGTTTTAGAAACCATTTATGTTTGAAATGAATATAAGGAAATTAGAAAGTTGGGAAGTTGCCAGAGTGAGAATAACTATTGTGAGCATGAGTTAAAAATATTTTTGGGGGGCCAGGTGTTGGTGGCACATGCCTTTAATCCCAGCACTCGGGAGGCAGAGGCAGGCAGATATCTGTGAGTTCGAGGCCGGCCTGGTCTACAGAGTGAGTTCCAGGACAGTCTCTAAAACAATACAGAGAAACCCTATCTCGAAAAACAAAACAAAAAAGTATTTTTGTACTAATTGAGAAGTGAAAATATAAATATGGAAAGATTTCTCTGCTTGGAAAACAGCAAGAAAGGTAGCACATAAAGAAAAATTGGAAAATGTGCAAAGTTACTTTAAAATGGTCTTTTAAAATTTGATTGATGTCTATGTCTTTTAAGTAACTTTTCTTAATTCCAGGGTGACAAAATTAAGCTAAATACCCATTTCTAGCACTTAGGGCAGTTTGTTTTGCACATGTACAAATTGGAAGTTGATTAAAAAATTCCAATTTTTGTGACTTGTAAGTAAGTTTCTTTTATATTAATGGTTATTTCTTCAGATAACAAACTAGGCTTATAGGTAGCCAAGTGTTAGTGAGATTGGTTTAACTTAACAGTACTTTTTGGGTTATGTTCAGAATGTTCTTCTGTAGAGTTGAGGATTAAATTTATAGTCCAGCCACACTCACATATCTGTAGCAGTCAAACAAATAAAGTAAGATGCTGTGGTAAACCTGGAGAATACAGTCCTCAGGTCACCACATACAGAATTCACTTAAAGCACTACTCAGGTATGGCAGCTTCCAGGCATGAAGCAACATAGCCAGGTAGACCGACTTTAGCTTTAGTATTTTCTGCTTCAAACATCCCAGTCAGGCTAGGTTGATAAACCAGTCTGTAAAGTGCTTGATTGTAAGTGTGAGGACCCAAATTCAGTCCCTGAGAACCTCCATGAAAATGCCCGGCTGTGATGGTACACTTGTAAGCCCACTGACAACGAGGCAGACACAGGCAGTTCCCTTGAGTTCACTGACCATGGTCTACTTAGCAAGTTTGAGGCCAGTGAGAGACCTGGTCTCAAAAGTACATGGGCAGTACCTGAAGTCTGATAGCTAAGCTCGTACTCTGGCCTCCACACATGTGCATGTGTGCCCTCCTACACACATATGTCCCTGACCCCCCCACACACACACACCTCCAAACAAGTTTTTCTTTATAGACATATATATATATATATATATTATAATGTCACTTTCATTGTAAAATACACCCTGTAAAAGCAGCCTTAAGTTTTAATAGTATGTGATCTGTGTGATCTTGTCATCACAGCTGAGAGATTAAAGTAGTTAGTACAAGCCTATAGAAGGAACAATCTGGAAGTTTTTAATCAACCATTTTGCCTAACCAATTTACATGTGGGCCATGAGCATGAAGCTGACTGAACATTCTGAGCTGGAGATAAATGTGGACACAACCCTGCTTTACACTTGAAAAATGCTGTTGTGTCTATATGGGAAAGCAAACACTTTAAAAGCAGTGTGGCTCCTCATTATATTATCTTGAGACCATCACTGAGTGTTGTCAGGCAATGGCTTTGGGGTTCTTCTGGCTGGAAGGCTGATCCATGAGTGTCATGCATGATGAGTGAGTGGTTCTGCCTCACTCCGTCTTGCTGTAAGAATGAAAATCAGCAAGAAGCTAGGTGACTGTAGCTTTGTCTAGAACAAATGGCTTTGGTGAGTCTGAGCTATTACATCTATTGCAGTTAATATCTCCCTTTCCTTCCCCAACTAAATCTTTGTGTTTTTCAATTGCGAATAACAGTGAGCCCCAAGCCATGTGCTACATCGAGACATCCAACTTAGATGGTGAAACAAACTTGAAAATTAGACAGGTAAGTTCTTCTCTCAGCTCATAGTCAATGCTTCATGATATGTATTTAAGAACGTCTAACTGTCTAAAAGTGATTCTGTCTAATCACAGCTATTTTCTCTTTGAACCAAACCATTGTGAAAAATGTTTCATAAACGGATAGAATTAATTATTTTGGGATGCAGATTACCAGTTAAATATGACCAATCATGAAATATTATTTATAATACTTTTAACTATTTTATATAATAGCCAATGCTTGGATGATAACAGTGGTAGTAGTAGTAGTTCTTAATATGTGTGTGTGAGAGAGAGAGGGAGAGAGAGTGAGAGAGAGACAGACAGACAGAGAGAGAGACAAAGAGACAGAGAGACAGAGAGAGAGAGAGAATATATATATAAATATGCCGTTTGGCTTGCATTCACTATATAGACCAGACTGGACTCAAACTCAAGGAGATCCACCTGGCTCTGAGTACTGGAATTAAAGGTGTTTTAAGTTCTTTGGCATGTTAATACTGAATTTGCCATGCTTAAAAGCCAAATTTTTTCATTGCTCTTCAGACACATATTTATCTTGGGGATTTGATTTACCTTATATTTCTATATTTGCTTTTCATACTATGAAAAGTTGCACAAAACAACTGTCAGATTTTGTTTTTAAAGTATAAACGGGGTGGGGTTAAAATACATAACACTGACTTCTTGCTGAGTGACAACAATGTCAGTGGGGTTTTTGGACTATGTTAAAACTGGGAGTCATGAGGGAACTGAAGTCAGATAGCTAATATGGATGTTCTCAGTGCCTGTCCCTTCCAGCTGGGTAAAGAGCTGCTTGGAAGTTCTCCCTGTCAGGGAGGGAGGGAGTAAGGGAAGGAGAGAAAGGGGAAAGGGCAGACCAAGTGCTCTCCTTGAATGCAGACTACGCCCATGTTTCATCCCCTTCATTGGACTCAGGATTCTGAGACTGTACAGCAGCAGATACTGATTTTTACCTGGAGCATTGGTACTTTAGAGCTTTCATAAGAGGTATATTGTTCTGTACTGAAAGTCCATGCTCACATGGATAGGAAGGTAACTCTACGGTATAGTTTGACAGTGTAGACATAGTTTCTGTCCCGCCCATAATACTCCCCCATGTTACTCCTTCAGTGGCTACATAGTGTCTCCTCCGAGACTCACCATCTGCATTCCTCTTCCCAGAATTCTCCTAGTCTGGTAGGCCGGCCTGGCTGAAGTCTGCCTGTCCATTGGCTGAAACAGCTTTATTCATTAACCAATAAGAAACATATGTTCACAGGATGCAGAAGGGCATCCCCCATCATGATAGTATTATGTAAAGGAAGGGAATTACTAGCAAAATAGTGAGATCCCTTGTCTATAAGACCATGGAGAGTATCCCACAATACTTATTTAAAATGCTCTGTTTATTTGGAAATATTCCAACAGGGTTTACCAGCAACATCAGATATCAAGGACATTGACAGTTTGATGAGAATTTCTGGCAGAATTGAGTGTGAAAGCCCAAACCGACATCTCTACGATTTTGTTGGGAATATAAGGCTTGATGGACATGGGTAGGTAAACTCACAATCACTGTGTCATCCTGTACCCCAAATGGTTTTCCTTTGCTCTAAGTGTGAATGCTCACTTGCAACTTTTGTTGTAAGCTTGTCTGTTTTCCAACTCATATGTTCCTGACTCTCCCCATGTGATATAATCAAAGACATTCCCATGTTCCTGCTGGACTGGCAGTCAGATGTTGTCAGTATCCTGGAATATTCTTTGGTGGTTAAATAGCCTGTGGCTGGTTCTTTGGCCGAGATTCTTGCCATGAACTTTCCTTTCCAATGCCCATGGCTATGGTCCATTCCTATGAACTTGGGATGTCTCAAGGAGTTCAGACTGTACCACAACAGCTAGTTATGTTTTTATCTCTTCTGTCTAACTCTACTGTATAATTCTGTATGCTTTTTTCTAGACCATGCTATCATCTCTAGTCACTATTATTGTTACCTGATTCCCACCTTTCCTACCACTTTCTTATCACTTCTCTTACTCATTCAATTAGAATTTAGTACACGCCTGATAGCCTAGACCATTTACAATATTACATAGGCCACAATAAGCAAATAAGATAAATATCCCCGCCTTTGTGTTTTCATTCATTCTAACAAAAATACCTTAAATTAAAAAAAATCTATGAGCAGCAGACATCCACTGCTCCCAGGTCTAGAAGATCAAGGCACCAAATTTGGTGTCTGGTAAGGAAATGTTGTACCCTGTGTCCTTGCATGGTAGAGGCCCTCAGGCATTCTTTGTAAGGTTTCAGTCACAAGAGCAGAACTCTTGTGTGGTGTGTGTGTGTGTGTGTGTGGTGTGTGTGTGTGTGTGTGTGTGTTGCATATGTGTGTAAAAAGTGTGCATGTAGAGACTACATGTAGGTGTTCTCCTCAGGAGCCAGTCACTTTGTCTTCTTATACAGGGTCTTGAACTGGTGTGAACTCACCAATTGGCTGAATGACTGGGGGGAAAGCCTCAGGGTTGTTCCTGTCTCCCCATTCCCTGTGATGGAATGATAAGCACACACTAATACCTAGCATCATCATTATCATCATAGTCATTATTAATTCTGAGACTCCAACTAGGTCTTCATGATTGCACAGTAAGCAATTAATGACTGGGCCATCTCTCCAGCCCCATGAGTGCAGAAAATTCAAGACTTAATCACCTCCTTCCCAAGAAACCAACATCCTAAGTACCCCAATATTAAAAGTTGGACGTCAGTATGCAAATATTGTACTATAGGATTTTGTGAACTTACTTTCTTTTGGTGAATATGTGAAGGGCAGAAATAAAGGAATTAATGAGAAAATTGTATAGCATAGTACAAGAGGTGAGGAAATCTCTTAGATAAGGAAATTTCCTTAGGAAGAAATCTCTCAGGGTGGTTGAAGTCAGCCTCCTTTAGGTGACATTTGAACAATGGTGATCAGGAAGTTAGGAGCTTAGTCATGTGACTATCTGGAAGTAGAGGATTCTGGACTGAAGAAATGGTGCAAATCGCTGTGATTGGAGAGAGACAAATCGAGGTGAAAGCCAAAAGATAATAATGGGCCAGACCACATCAGGCTTTGTGGGCCATTATAAGGTGTTCTGAGCAAACTTGAGATCCGTAAGTTATGAAGAAGAAACATCTCTTTAGATTTGGAATTAATAAGTTTATGGTGTCCAAACAACACTTGAATATATGTCTGAACTTTGAGAGTAGTTCACATAGAAATTTAAACTCACTGGGGCTGGAAATTTCATTGAAATTGAAAGTATAGACAGAAAAATTAAAAGACCCAAGGACTGTCTAGCGTTGGAAGGCTGAGAAGAGCAGGGAATAGAGACCAAGTCTGTGGAGTAAAAACCAAGAAAGAGTAAAGAAACTTCCAAATAGAGATGGAGGAACAAAGTTAGGTCAGCTGTCACTTGTGACTAACTGCAATGTGACTGAACATTAACAGTTATGTTTATTGAGTGGAGATAATGGCCCCTGATTAGAGCAGGTTGTACCTGATGAGGGTGAGCCCGATATCATGGGGAAAGAGTTTTATTGCAGTGCACCGCGCAGAATTGAGGTAGTAGAATCCAGCAAGAAGGGTGGGGTGTTTTCTGCCCCACTTCTGTTTCCTTGCTTCATCCCTTCCCTTCCCGTTCTACCTCCTCTACACAATAGACCTTGTCTACCAGATAGGTGTGGTGGCCAGGTAAGTATCAGCTAAAATACACTGGTTCAACCAGCCTAGGGGAATGTTGTCCGTGTTCTCGCCATTGGGATGTGAATGATCAAAGAATTAAATAAGGAACTAAGTAAATGACATGTGACATATATCCTGGGCCGACACGCTTATCTAATCCACCAAAACTTTCTTACACTCTTTAAGGTAATTGTTAATTCTAAAATTTTTCAAAGTAATCTTTTCTTGAACATATGGTTATAAACTACTGATAGATTTGGCCATTTGTACAAGTAACATTTCTTAAGTCTGACATTTTTAACTAGCCAGCTTCCATTCCTTACCAACGTTTCTTTAAATTGGTGCCAGGAAAATCCGTGCCATGAAGAAAACGTTAGATGATGGTGCCAAGATTTAAGGAACTGGAGTTTTAAAATATGTTTAATTTTATCGGAAAGGTCGAAATGAATGAGTGAGGCAGGTACTCCAAGAGGAAGGTTGGGAGATAGTGGGAAGCAGTAAATATGTGTCAGGTGTGACATTGAGCCCAGTCAGGTAGGTGAGGTGAGGAGCAGTGGCTATACATGGCCCCTAAAGCAAAATCCAGCAGCTTCTCAAGTACTTTGTGGAATTCGCTTTAGCCTCAAGGTCCCCACCCCATCCCAACCCCAAAGTGTACTCTCGATATTGACATATATACAAGAGAGGTCTGTGGTTTCAATATGGTTTTGTCCCCTGGAGGTTTCACATACTGGAAACTCAACCCCCAATTTAGTGACTACAGATAGACTCAAAAATAAACCTTATTTTTCACACAAAATAACCAGTCCTCAGACCTTTCATAAGCTTTCACAAAATGATTTAAACTCCATTCCCATCCCAGTGGGCCTTAAGGACTGCTGCTGGATGTAAATGATGGGAGCTGAAATCCACTGTTTCCTGAGGACTGCCTCAGTGGCCATTCTAACCCACACATCTGGATTGATTTCACTGAGCCAGTAGAAAATATTTCCAATGCCCAAACTATCTCTAGCCTTAGTAGCTGACTGAACCACCTATTCCCACCAGAAATAGAGGTACCTCAGTTCAGTGACCCTTACTGATTGACAAGACCTATATTCTTTATAGACTTCCATTAAAAACTGTTTCCTTCTTTTCTTAGAAATTTTAAGTGTATTTTTCTTTGTTTTGGACTTTTTTTTTACATTACTTTCTTGTTAAATGAAAACCTTGGTTATTAGCAATCTTTGAGCCATTCGATTTTGGATCCTCCATTTCCATCAACTGACTCAATCCACATCTGTGATAGTGCCATAGTACTCTTGAATCCCTGTTCCGAGTGTAAAGCGCCCAATGATGTACCACAAAGGGTAGCCTTGGATGAAACACACAAAAGACCCAACTTGACCTCATTCATGGAAATGTGCTTTAAAGGCTAGGAAGCAAATTGCTTCTAAATGATTACTGTGTTGGGCATATGTTTGCAATTCTTGGAAAACAGACACTAATTCTGTAAAATGAATACTGTAAGTCTAGGCACTTATTTCAGAAAGGGGATGGTAGTATCAGAATATGGAGAGAACCATGGGTTTATTTTACTTTGTGTAGATTTTGAGCCCTGATTGTGTACAAAGTTGTTTGTAATTTAAAGTGTGTGTGTGTGCGTGCGCGCTTATTGAGAGGGTGAGGAACATATGTTTTAGCCCCACTACTTCCAAACTTTGTATGAACTTAAATCAACTTATTAAGTCAGTAAAAACCACATGTGAGATTGGCTACTGCATTCCCAAACATTGCTTGCTATTTGAGGTGTTATATTGATTTGTGTAACTGCCATGATGATAGAACTTAGTAAGTTTTATCATTACAAATTGTCTGTCTTGCCATCTGGATAATGGAAATAAAGCAACATTACTGGACTCTAATGAAGGCCACCTTTGTATTTGGAAAATTATGTCCTCTCTGTGTATGTTTATATGACAGAGCCAGCTCTCGGGTATCTATCAGGGCACTAATCACATCAGAGGGCTTCACCCTCATGAACTCACCTAAAACTAATAGCCTGGTACAATGTGGCTACAAATGTTACCACAATTGGGGTTGGAGCTTTAACTTAGGAATATTTGGGGGATACTTATAGTCCCTGGGGAGAGGAAAGCTATAGGAAATGACTAGTATGGTGTTAAGGACAAAACCCACTTCTTCCCAATATTTATATTTGAAAATTATCATTGTTGGTGAAAAATATACTTCCTTTCCAAAAATAAAGTTTTAATTGTGGAGACTTTGTTGGCCATGTAATGACTGTGCATTTCCTGAACCAAGTTTTGAACAATGTCAATTCTAACACTGACATACTCTGTCGTAGCACTGTTCCTCTGGGAGCAGACCAGATTCTTCTACGTGGTGCTCAGTTAAGAAATACTCAGTGGGTTCATGGGATAGTTGTCTACACGGGACATGACACCAAGCTGATGCAGGTGGGACTTTTATCTTTTTTGAGACTAAGTCTTTTGGAAATGTATAATTCATTGTTCTTGGTGCACTTGAACCAAACAGCAGATCAAGCATTGGATATTCCTTACCCTTATACCACACACCCATATTTGGAACAAGGTGAGCGACATCTTGAAATTCCTTCCCTGTGAAAAGGGCTCACTGCACATGGGAACACTGAGAAACTTCCCCCAAGGTCACGTGATATGTCAACGCCCAATAAATGGTGTGTGTTGATCTATGACATTTTCCAACTAATGGTCACTTCAAGTTGCCTGGGTAACAGTGTCTGCATTAAAGTATCTGTATCATGATTTTATTATAATGCAATGATCAAATTTTAAAAATTGGAGTTTTTTCATAAAACTCAAGCGTACAAACAGCCATTTTTTTCATAACATTTCTATACAAGGTTGTTTTTGCCATCTACTGTCCTGATGTTTCTATACACCCATGGAAACTTCATCTGTACATTATAATGCAACCTGCATTCAGTAGTGTGACAAGTATAGGAAACCCACTCTGCACTACTAATTGGAGTTCTACTCTGAGGACTAGTGTCCCTGTACATCTCGCAGGTGTCAAGATGCTGTCGTTACAAGTAAGATGGTTGGTAGTGTACCTACCCTGGCCGTGCTTAAATTCTATCATTTAAATTGGTTATGAGGGATTTCCTTTCCTGTCCTGTGGATGCTCTGGTAGCACAGATCTGCCTTAACTACTAAATCATCACATATAGTAGAGAAGCCTCCCTTGTTCTCTGCTGCATATAAGTCAGGCTTGCTACACCGACCTTCCTGCCTCTGCCTCCTAAGCCAGCCTGCTGCTGCACCCTGTTATCTGTTACTGATTATAAATGGTAGGACTTGAATTTCTGCTGTGTCCAGTAAAGCAATTGCTGAGTGGCATCAGAGATCCTTTGGATGCTGAGGTATTGTGCCCAAATTCTGAACCCCCAAAATCACCAAGGGACTTGGCATGTGTTTGGAACAGTTTCCAGCTCAAGTCCAAGTACTGGTTGTGACCGTGTCACTCTCATCGAATACTAAGTAAGCAATGCTAAATTGTGCAGTCTTTACCATTTGTTTTGCTTTGTTTTGTTTTACAGAATTCCACAAGTCCACCTCTTAAACTCTCCAATGTGGAACGGATTACAAATGTACAAATTCTGATTTTATTTTGCATCTTAATTGCCATGTCTCTTATCTGTTCTGTGGGCTCAGCCATTTGGAATCGAAGGCATTCTGGGAAAGACTGGTACCTCCATCTACACTGTGAGCAGTGAAGTGCTGACTTGCTTATTTCTTTCCCTTTAAGTTAAATATGCATTTGTTTCTGAAAAGACAGCTTGTAGTTAAGATAACTGGGGGTTTTATCTTCATTTTTTAATAGATTTCCAGAAAAAGCAAGTAAAATTTAGGGTTTCAAAACTTCAAAATACTTACAAACACACCACCACTCCATAGTGATATAAAATGCTCTATAAGTATAAACATTAACATGATACACAAAATAAAAACTGCCCTTTAAAATATATTAAATGTGAAAGTTAAATTCATGAAAAGAGATTATATGTCAAAGAAATTATGAGTATTGACTATGAAAACATAATTTATATGCTTTAAAATGTTTGAACTGAATGTACTGTTTTTCCTTCATTTCTTTCTTTTTCTAATGTGCTTTCCTTTGAACTTAGTAACAGTTTTATGAAAACGTTTATCTTGTTCCAGGAAGAGTGGTTTTAATCGCTTCCGTCTGGAACATGTATTCTCTTGCTGTTCTGGTATTAATGTATCCCCTCTGGGTATTTCTAGGAAGTGAGTTTGTATTTCCTTGTGATGAATACTTAGTCAGTAAATACTTAATTTCCCCAAAGTGTGAAAACAAATTCCAGTGCAATTTTACAGGAAAAACAAAAACAAAAAACAGATTTTAAGGCTGTTTTTATTATATTTATCTAACTTTTTAATTGCATTTAGTTAGCTTTGCATCTATCCCACGTTATTTTATAGTTGTTGATTTATTATTTCAGCATTTAAAAGTGTTATTACTGTAATCAATTTGTTCATGTATATTCCTTACAATATTTTAGTCTTCCTTGTTTTCCTTATTGAGGAGGAAGAAGTTAATTTACTTAGAAAACTAATTTACCTAGAGATGAATAATGTTCCTGTAGCTAAGGATACAGCTCAGTGTATAGCTTACAGGCCATGCACATGACCTCCCAGAGACCAGTACTGGAAAAATAAGTATTGTTCCAGTTGCTATTGGGTTTGCTTTCAAACCACACTTCAGTTTGAAAATACATTCAAGAATTTACATAGAAGTGTTTCCACCCAAATGAAAGTTAAAAACCTTCAACCCTCCTAATGGCTCTGAACTTCCTTATTAGAGCATGATTTGCAATACCAATAGCTAGAGCACTTCTCACTTTTCTTTCACTCCTGGCTTCCCCCAATGAGGTTCCTCTGTGAAGTCCTGTCTGTAATTCACCAGGCTGGCCTCTCACTCAAGCAAGAGGCCCACCCGCCTCTGCTTCCCTAGTGCTGGAATTAAAGGCATACGGGGGCCTTAATAGGATTAACCTGCTATACACGGATACAACTACATCTCTGTATCTTTGGAACTTGGTGCTAGGACATCAGGAAAGGTCCATAACCTGACAGATGCCCAAGCCTTTTATTTTAAATGACCCAGTATTTGCACTGTGTGTACTGTCATATACTGTAAGTTATATCAAAGTTACTTAATATGCACGATGCAAAGTGTATGATGTATAGGAGGTTATTACACTGTATTATTTAAGGAATAATTAGTCTACACATACTAAGTACACACAGAATATTTTCAGTCTAGAGTTGGTTGAATCCCTGATTAGAGACCCCCAAGAGAGAGGGATGACTGAACTTTGGTCCTACACTGAAAGAGGAGTTTGAGAATCAGGGTATGTTATTAGCAAATCCTTCCTCAGTGTGTCTAGACTTGTTGTATAATATAGGAAATTCCTGTGGTGCTCAGGTTTTCTTACTGCAGATATAAACCTGTAAATGATGTTCTTCCCCCTCCCCAACAGATGGTGGCGCTAATAATTTCGGACTCAACTTCTTGACTTTCATTATCCTTTTCAACAACCTCATTCCCATCAGCTTGTTGGTTACATTAGAAGTGGTAAAGTTTACCCAGGCATACTTCATAAATTGGGTAAGTATGAATGTGTATTATATGGCAATTTCCTAAGTATGTATTTTGTCTCTCTCTTTTAATTTTCTCTGATATGGTCTTTTGATCCATGGAGGTTAAAATTTTTTTTAAAGTCTTAATTATATGTTGTTTTTGTTGACTATGTGATGGTATTTTTTAAGCCTAATACAATTTTAACATGGTGTGCTCAGAATCAGGCAAATTGATAACACCAGACATCCTGAGGGAAGCCGGTGTCTAGTTCAGGAAACCTGTTTGGGACATACAGGGTCTATAGAGGAAGAGACCCTGCATTTGGAATTGTAATATCTGTCTTATAGATTCAGTGTCAAAATTTACCACATAAGCAACTTTGTCTAGTCACTTGACTTCCTGGAACTCTATTTCTGGACACTAACCTGAGAATGACAAGGTGTTTTACCTAAATCTTGCAATACTTGTGCAACTCAGGAATCTGTTTACATGGCAAAGAGGGTTATAAGCAATCAAACACGTAACTGTGCTTATGTCAACATGACTGAGGAATTTGTTCATCCAACTAGTTCATTGTCGACACCATAAATCACTTCAGCATGTCTGGTTTTCCTTTTGAATTATTATATTGTTGTTTTAAGTGTTAGATATATTAAACATGTTTTCTATATTTTTCATCATATCATTTTGTCCTTTCAGTTTTATCTTAGTTAAAATTAATGGATTTGTGTAAATTACATCTTCAGGTATAGTTTGCCAAAAAGTTGAATTTTTTGAGAAATTTTGATTTCATTTTATGTTCCAAACTCATCTTAAAGCTTTTAATATGAGCAATTTCAGAGTTTAAAAATATAACCAGAGATACATTTGCAGCTCTTCATTGTCTTCTTGTGGTGAGTAACACTGCAAAAATGTCAACCTCTTTCTTAAATTTGGTAAAAGATCAGTGTAATTTAGGAATTTGAAATGAGCATTGGGCATAGTTCACTCTACACAGGGAATATATGCTGAAGAATTGAGCCATATATACAGATAATTGAAGTTAATGAAGGGCTCTCATTCATATAAATAATAAGGTAAATGTACTGTGAAGATCAAATGGCTATTCACATCCTTATTTTTAATGTGAGTTTTCAAAAACTAGAATTGGCTTTGAATAATTACATAATGTCAGTGTTGAGTAAGTCCTCTTGCTTTTTTAACTATCAGAGACTTTGTGATGGCCCTGATAAGCCAGCTTCCTCCTTTGATGGAATTGAGATCAATAACTGTCTCCTGGATTCTGTTTCTGGCCAGTTGTCCAAAACAACTGTAATTTCATATAACGATACAGTATAGATTTGTGAACGATAGCTTTGAAGACATTCAACCTCAGCTGTCCTGTCACACCTGTTCTTCTGTCATGCCTGTCCCTCCTGATTCAGACACCTTCCTCTACTCTGGCTGGTCTTCGTTTCATATGGCTTCCAGATTAATCTGTGTGTGAGCCCTCTCTTCTCCTCTCTCAACATGATTCACTTGGCAAATGTCTCTATTCCAACATGATATGGAAACTCAAAGGCTGCTCTAGAAGCAGAGACAGGAGAGATGTAAAACCCAACAAACTACAGCCCTGACTTGTTAATACAATATTATACTGTAAAAACTCTTTGATAATGGGGCTGGACAGTGGAGTCAGACCTCATGGTCACTGGGTACAATGCAAGTTCAAAGAAATACAAGATTATACCTCTTTTGGTTGACTGTCAAGTAGCTGTAATAAAAGAAACTTAGCTGGGGAGTTGTTACAATAATTCTTTCTCACCAGCCTGGTCCCGCAGCCTCATCAGCCCCAAATGAACACTCCTCTGGCATCCTACATGGTGACTGCTCTCTGCCTACACCTCCCAGAATAATCCTCATCTCCTAGACCCGTCTATCTTACTGCCCTATTGGCCACAGTGTTTCATTCATCAACCAATGAGATAAAGATATTTACAGAATGACATCTCCCATCAGGAAGTTCAGTCAGGAAGTGCTAACTTAGATAACTTTTCCTGTTGCTTGAAGAGCTAAGTATATGAAAACATTATCTGCCTTCCTAGCAAACATACCGCTTGTCACTCTAGTGAGCACTTTATGTGTATTGTATTATATTAATTCCAACAAGAGGTTAAGTTTATTGAGAATGAAGAATGAAACTAAACAGACTATCTGACTCTGCAAACAAGCTCTCATACTGTACTCTCCTGTTCTGATGAAAGTGAATCATTTCCCCCTGAATAGTTTTCAGGATTGTCACATAGAGTCATGGATAGCAAGGAACTAGAGTGGTTACACAGAGCTGAGCAGTCAAATGATGACTTGTGAGGCACAAAAGAACAAAGTGATGTGTTTTGCTGACCCAGTCCCCAGTACCTTGTATTCAAGGATGTCACTTATTTGTAGGATCTTGACATGCACTATGAGCCCACAGACACTGCTGCAATGGCCCGGACATCGAATCTGAATGAAGAACTTGGCCAGGTAAGCTCTTACTGACACAGTTGAATCAGAAGTGAGGTTTGGTAGAATTTCTTATACCTTATGTGGTGACTTCAGATGAAGTAGCATCTCCTCATTTTCCATTGTTTGAATAATCCACATAAATGCTAGTGCCTGGCATTCAGTGTTCATATCTAACAGTGGGGTTTTCAGACACTAAAGCAGATTTTTCTTTCAAGGCAAGATACTGTGCAAGCCTAGGTGTGTTTCTTCGTAGGCAGTCTGATTAGCTATAAAATATTGTCTGGTTTTGAGTTATAGAAATAGTAAAAGAATTGTTCATTCTTTCATTCATTCAACTTTCATCCAGAAGAAAGGAAAAGTGCAAGTTGTATGAGTCTAGTCAAGTAGGAATTTGGATCAGTTTTCTAACTCATACTTCATTAATACATGCAGCTGCATCACTTACTAGGGATGTGTTCTGAACAGTGCATTGTCAGGTAATTTCATCATTATGTAAGCATCATAAAATGCACTTCCACATGCTAACAACTATGACCTCAGTAGGCAAGCAGTATAGTATTGTGATAGCTGTTTCATACTTACACCTTCCATTAACTAAAGCATCCTTAGGTGACATGTGACTACATATATATATTTGTAACCCATTTATAGGTACTAGCTGAAAAGGGATTTTTGTTTCCTCCTCCACTTTCCAACTCATACTATTCAAATTGTATTTAGAATGCTTCATACTGTTCCTTATCAAGCTAGATGGTAACCTGAAGTTAACTGCATAAGCTATTGCCAACCCTGGAATTTTCCTGTTACACTGAGAAATCCTGGTTAGGTCTTAGTGCTGTGTATGTTTGAAAACAGCAGTGAAAATTTCTGCAGAAATTCAGATTATCCTGGAGCAGATTTCTCTCTGACTCTAGTTTTTCTAATACACATTAATGCCCATATATAAAAGAATTGATCACTGAAATGCTAAGAGCTGAGTTGCTCTGTAAAGAATGTACTGAATGTCATTCAAGCGGCCATTCTACATCCACAGTAGAACAAAGTTGACTTTTAAAGAAAGTATACTGTAAGTACATTTTCCTCCCTCTATAAAAAATATCTGAGCAGGATGGATACAGCTCATAGGTTGATACTTGCCTGGTATGCATAAGACACCAAGATGGGCACTTAAAGCCCTAAAATACTGATTAGGATTTTAACCTTGTTTGTAGGTTAAATACATATTTTCTGACAAAACTGGGACCCTGACATGCAATGTGATGCAGTTTAAGAAGTGCACCATCGCAGGCGTGGCTTATGGGTGAGTGTGTTCCCATTGACGGGTGGATGACACACACATTTGGTTGATGCCATCCATTTGGAATATTTGGAAATTCTTGTACAAGGAGGGTTTGAGTTTTGTTTTTTGTTTTTTAATCTAGAAAGCAGTTCTTTTTACTTTGGGGTGGGTTAATTGTGTATTTTACTGCTGGTCTTGCTTTCCTCTGGAGACAATACGGGGTAGATACTGACTGGCAGGTCTCAGTGTTTAGGGTTTTGCAAGCTCTCCATCTGGACCTAGTGATAAGGACAAACCATTTCCCATAAGTCGGGGTGCAGCGTAGATGTGCGAAGAAGCTGCAGTGAGGCCTTGGTCTGCCTTTCACTGAAGTAATACTGCACTTCTCCGACAATTACTTTTGCTTTATTTTTTTTTTATCATGTCTCCCCTCAACAGTCACAGAGCAATCTAAAATTCAGGTGATGGGAAGGAGGTAGGGACATGAATGTCTTCACTCTGGAGAACAGAAGTGTTAATGCCCTTCAGCTTGGATGTGGCATCCACTTAATTTATTTCTTTTTATATGTATGCTTCCCTAAGCCATTCAGAGACGCCCTCGTTCTGGTTGAGTGGCACTAGCCTTAGTAAATTTTGCAACTATCCTTACCTCAATGCAGCAAGTAAATATTGACTGACGTATTAATCCCATTACTTGCTTTGGGCATTGCTGGCTTGCTCATTCTGTTTTCATTCATACTTTACCTTTAAACAGCAAGCCAGTGGGAGGGGTGTTCAATTTTGAAAATATTTTAAACAATTTATTATTCTCTGAACAGGAACAGAGACTGGTAGGCTTGTTTCTGAGGGCAGGAGAGAGTTTGATTCAAAACTGCTTCAACCTGTGGATACAGCAATGGATGGCTTTTCCACACTGTGGAGACAGGCTTTTGATTTGAGGGAGACTACAGATGTTTCCAGTTTGTATTTTTTCCCTCTTTATCTGGAGTCTCATAGTTATCGGACACAACAGCTCTCCCCATCATCCCCAGAATTGTTCCCGGAGCAGTACAATCATAGTCACATCCTTTGACATCAAGTGCTTACACACTCTACACATGGTTAGGCCAGAGGCAGAACGGCTTCTCTCTGTGGGGTTTTTCGTATGCTCAAAACAGGGTTAATTACCTCTGGCCATATGCGCAGAAGCAGAGCTCTTCCCTTGGCTGTCGATAACTTCATAGTGCACAAGCGTGGGAGGACAGGGTGGGTTTGAGCAAAGTGTTGGTCCTGTCAATTAGATGGTCAATGAAATGAGTGTCCCTGTGAGAACATTTCTTAAGAATGAGGTAAAGCGATGAGATACGCATTCTAGAGCTGTGTATTAGATTTCCTCCTGTGACCCTAGACAATCCCCTTTCAGATATTCTTAATTCTGTAAAACTCAATAAAACTGAATAAAAGAAACCTCAAAGGTCCTTTCAAGATAGGAAGCTCTGAAGTGTTCTCTAATAAGAACAGAAGCCCCTTTGTTTGCAGAGATCAACACTATAATAGAAGTGGGTCCTGCTTAGGTGTAGCTACATGCTTTCAAGAATACTGAAAGCCATGCTGCAGCTAGTTAAGCTGCTTCCCAGCATCACACGGGGCTTGTTCATTTGTGTTAGTCGAATAGCCCTCAATATGATTTTATGCACATATAAATTTATATATGGATCCCTTGAGAATTTCATTCAGTGTATTTTGATCACCGCAGCTCCTCCCAGATCCACTCCTCCCACTTTTAAATAAAGTTCCAGTCTCACTCATCCTTATGGATTACTGGAGCATCAGTACTGTAGAGGGTTGGTGATACACTGAGGATCTGGAGAAACTGACTTTTACTGACCATATGTTTATATCAGGGGTGTAGCCTGGATACCTGATCCCACAACTGACACACACAGGAGAGGCAGTCACAGTCAGCCACCTTACTATGGAAATGACAGAACAAGAGAAAGTAACACACTTTAAATGCCAACAAATAAGCTGACAGCTAATCCTTCTTCGGACTCTCAGTAAATTCCCGTTCTATCTCATTGTAAGAGCTAGAAGGTAAGGGCTGTCAATCTCCCAACAGTGTAGTTTTTAGATAGTCCTCTCTATCCAGGAATTTTGTAGGAATAGAGTACATATCACCAATGCTTCAGAATTTAATTTTATTAAAGTTCTTCTTGTTTCATTTAAGCTTGGCCTCAAACTTTGTTTGAATTTCATGACAGACAATGAAATTCAAAGATTTATACATAGTTGCCAGCAATGACTATTTCACAAAAATCAGCTTTGTTGTAAGGATGCCTCCCTCTGTTTACATTTACTGGATTTTTTCCTTTAACTATACATAGACTATTATCATGTATAAATTTAACTTGCTACAATCTAGAAGTTAAACTGTTAAACACCTAGGAAAGTATCGGTGTGCAGGTTACACTATGGGAATGCCTGTGTTATCACAACTAGTTGAGTATCCACAATACGTAAGTACTTCTGTATTCAGTGACTGTGAACATTTGAACAGTTTACCTTATATCCTGTTCTTGGCAGCAACTTATTCTATACTCTCTCTGAGGCCCCCCCCCAAAAAAGTCTATTAAGCAACCTGAGCAATTCTTTTTTGCTTTATTTGGGAGATCAGACATTTGATTAATCTTAAATCATTTACCCTTTCCCTTTCGGTAAAACAGATGAAGATTCTTAGTGATAATCTGTCTGTACCAACTTTAGTATGTGAATAGTTTACATGGCAGGTTTTGTTTAGAAGGATGTTTGATAGGAGATCAGCTAATTCTACAGCGCTGAGGAGAAATTCACCAGGAAATCTGTATAGTTATCATACACTTAGCTCTAAGGACTAGAAGATTGTAGCCAGCTCATGTGTCTGGTGACCAACCATGGCCTTTTGTTTACCTACATCAAATGTTGATCTGTCTCCTTCTGCATATGGCCCTTTGTTAAGTAATAGAAACCTAATAATAAGCCAGAGTTTACATGGTTCCCACACAGAGTTCACAGTCTAACTGGAGTTAATAGGCATTAATTAATTATAATATAATAGTATCCATGGTAACTTATACAAACAAGCCACCTGCTGCCCACCACCCTCTAGACAGCACTCACCTTCTGACAGGGCTGCACTAGACTCATGGGCAGGCACTGTAGCCCTTGTGCTCTGGGGGTGGTAAGCCTCATGACTTAGAAAGCACTAGTTCCAGAGCTGGTGTGAAAGAACCATGAGCAGGGCACCATAGCAATGCAAGCTGTCAGGACCTTCGCCAGGAGCCTGGCACCACACCAGTGCAAGCTGTCGGGACCTTCTCCAGGAGCAGGGACACAATATCATTGCAAGCTATCAGGATTTTCTCTATGAGCATGGTGCAATGCCAATGCAAGCTGCCAGGACCTTCTCTAGGTATAATACCAATGCAAGCCGTCAGGACGTACTCTAGGTATAATACCAATGCAAGCTGTCAGGACCTTCTCTAGGTATAATACCAATGCAAGCTGTCAGGACCTTCTCTAGGTATAATACCAATGCAAGCTGTCAGGACCTTCTCCAGGTATAATGCCAATACAAGCTGTCAGGACCTTCTTACAGTGTTTCCTTCTTGGACAGGTACTAGTGCTCCCCTGAACAGTGTAGGGGCTGGCGCCCAAACTTTGAGGTTAATCACAAGTGATTGTCCTTGGTGCTAGAGCCCATTTCCACAGTGTGTTGCCACAAGCCAGCAACTTCCTAGAAATCCATTCCAAGATGGGCAGGGTGAGTGCTTCCTCCTAAGCAATAAACACAAGCCTTTGACAGGAAAGAATAGTGGGCTAAGGGATCCCTTCATTGTGACTGCTAAAATAGAGGGAATGTTGCCCCTGGAGGAAACATAATGTTTTGGAAATAGACTTTGTTGTGGCTAGGTTAAAAGTGGGTAGGCATTTAGGGAGTTAATGAATTCTGTAACTTCCAGCAGCTTATTATATTCATCATAAGCTGTATATGCATTTTAAACTCTACCTGTGTATAGTAAGTCTAATTTAAAGGGAAAATACTTAATTGTCATATGTAATGAAAGAATTGGGAGATAAGAAAATCTACCCTGATGTGTATTTTGGGTGTTGTATGAAAGTTGGAATAACTACCTCTTTTCCCATGCTTCACTGGGCTCATGGGTAAAATTAAATGTATTGATGAAAACATCTTTCAAGATTGAAAATTACTTGATGAGTGAATCATTTTGAAATCAGTGGTTCCATTTATTCAAAGAAATACAATTAACAGTTAACTCGTACTTTCACATGCCCTCTTAGGAAGTTATTGTCCCAAGGCAGTCAAAGCTTCAATTTTTTTATCCTATGATTGTGCCCTAGGTGACAACGTATTTGTGTCATTAAAACACTGTTATGGTTATAAATATAAATGATTGACTTCCTACTGGCTACATTGTGGCTTCTGTGCTTCAATTCTGGGATAGGAGTACCTTTGTAAGTCTACCTGGTTACCATAAATCCTCATGTTCTGCTCGCTGTACTAACTGCCATTCTTCCAGATCCAACTAAAAGTTCATTTTCTTAACTTTCTAGAAACCCGCCTCTCAGCACTTCCCTCATTCATGGTTTTATGTTTCCAGCCTTTCTGTGATTATTTTACCCTCTCTTTCTGTCCCTCCTCTTGAAGCCATGTCCCTGAACCTGAGGATTATGGGTGCTCGCCTGATGAATGGTAAGCTACGTAGTACTTTGATCTCTTTGAAAGGTTCTGTTTTATCTATCGCTGTGTTAAACAGGCTTCCCTGGGCGCACAGGAAGCTGTCTTCACAGGTGTTGGGTGATGAGGCTCTGTGGTGTGTATTCCTTAAACTCTGTTAACTATCTTTGGTTTTTCTATCGAAAAACCTTCATAAACATATTCTAAAACTTTAAAGGTTGCTAGGGTCTTATATTATTTATCTATAATCAGTAGGGATCGATGCCAAAGTGCCCAGGCAGGGAAAACTCCCTGAACCCTCAGCTGTAGCTCTTAAAGCTTGCTTTTGTCTTTAGCTCAGCACTGCCCCCTTCTGCCTGAGCTACAGAACAGATAATGCTGGGCCGTGCCGGAGCAGCACAAGTTTCCTGCTTTATTATTTTATTATTTTAATGTCTCTTCGGAGGCTGTAAAATGAAGACACAAGTGTTCCAGAATCATACTACCCACAACTTAAGAGTAAATGCAGCATTATTCACTAGGTTTTTTAAAAAACTTTCTATTGATTCTTTGTGAATTTCACATCATGAATCCCAACTCTAGCATTGCTTTAGATTTATTAATGTTAGAGTATTGTATGTTTAATTTCACTACTATGGGAAGTTTCTGAGACTTTGTTTTGTTTTACCTTAAAATCCTTTCATCCATGTATTTACATTTTTATCTAGTATATTTTGTTATTGGTATGAGTTGCCATGATTTAGTAGCAAATAAAATTTTTTAAATTATGATTTCTTTAAAAAATTTTGAGAATATTGATTTTAGAGAATATTGAGCCTTTTTTCTATTTATCTGGATTACATATACTTTGTGGTTAAGTTGTATTTCCACTATTCATTGGAGTCCAGTCACAAAACAAGTTTTCAAACTACATGGAATTTATTTCAGTAGAGATTTGATAAGTTTTTTTAGTAAACCCCCCAATACTCACAGCTACTAATTGAAGCAGCTTTTCGATTCACGTGACAAGTGGCACCATCAATGTCCATTACACGGAGTTCCATAGATTCTGACACTATCACAGCTAAATGACTCTTCTTATTGCTCAGTGTGTCAGAGCATTTTATCTTTGGTTGACCATTCAAGCTAAGCGTTGCACACACCCCTCCTTACTGGGTCCTGTGACTCTGTAGTTTTAGTTTTTGCTGTGGGTGCTCCTTGACTTGTGATTAGTTACCATCTGAGTGAACCTGTGTGTCTTTTTATTTGCTGCTTGCCTATAGCACTGTAATTTTACTCGTTTTAAATTCTGCTTAGTAGTAGAGAACTAATCCACTTATCTCCCTACATGGCATGGTTCAGTTTTCTTAACTGCAAATGTTATATTATTGACCCAGATCATTTCAAACATTGTACTTGGAGCAGAGGAGGTTTCGGGCATCAATCACTGTTGGAAAGAGATGGTGTCATTTTATCTTGCCCATAAGTGATTTTCTTAAAGAATATAATATCTTTTGGGGAAAAGCTGAGTTCAAATGGAATATTCCAGTTTTTTTTCATAAATGGTATATTTTCACTTGCCATTGAATCTAAAAGTAGTTAGTTACTTAGTGTTTTAAAAGTAAACACCAGGGAAGACACTTTGTCACATTTTGGCAAAGGTGTGTACTTGGGTCTTCCATATGCAGGCTTGTATGTAGGCTTGCAAAGGTGGGGGTACAGTTTTGTGAAAATGTGTAGGGTCTTGTGGAATGACTATGCATGTGAACTTTGGATTTTGACCACTGAAGTTCAGATCCTGACCTGACCTTCAAACAAGTCACTAACTGCCTGAGTGGGCTCACCGGAAAACTGTGGTCACCACCAACACTCACTTGAGTGGGAAACTTTGAAGATCAACTGTCTCATCAGAAGACTAGCACCGGTGGTTCTCACTCCTCATCGTATGTGTGATATGATTGCTTTCAAGTTGAAAGAATTTAGATCGCAAAGCCAGTAAGCAGTCTGCCTAAGAATTCAACCGGCAGACCTGGGAGCAATCGGCTGAGCCTGATGACAAAAAGTGGTGGTTCCGTCACACACCTATCCACTTTAAGGGCTGCTGTTTCCTTTGAAGCACAGGATAGCTTTGCATTTCGAGCCCCCCACCCCTGTCACTTAGTGTTTTCCTAACTGAAAAGTATTTCAGGACAGTTGCTGAAGTTTCTAAGGAAGTAGAAGGAAGGGCTACCCTTTGGCTGAGTGGAGGAAAGGTAGCTCGGAGCTTCACACACGACTCCATACTTTCAAAAGCCGGGCATTTGCCCTGTCATCTGACTGGTCTCATGTGACTGAGGAGACCAAGATCAAATGTGGTCTTGGTGGAGCCCTGTGCTCCGGTGTCTGACAGCGTCTCCATGTGGCTGCTTCTCCAGAGAGAGTCTGGAAGACTCTGTCACTGAAACTCTGGAAGTCATCTCCTCAGTGTCTGCTTGGCAACTTCATCTGGCAATGAGAAGTTGACTGAAAGCCACTTAACAAGCTTGGAGCCGTCTACGTTTAATCGTATGCTTGAAATGGCACCAGTACAAAAATGTCAAGAAAATCCACATGGGTAGACAGCGTATTTATACTTGGTTCTAGAGGCAAGCTTATAACACTTCAACCCTTTGGAACACACTCTTTTGCTATTAAATATTGGATGATGGCTGAAATTCTCTAAAATATATTGATATTGGCGGTTTGCAGAGATAATGGCTTCCCAACATGTGGTCACTTACTCCAAAATTGGCATTGTTTTCCTCCTATTGCCTAGAACATCAACTTTCGTGGAACCTTGCAAACTAATTCCTTTCTATTAAAGCCATTATCTAAATTGGTACTATAAATACTGAATGGATTAGAGAGAAAAAACACCTTTTACTTCCAATACCCATGTAATCCTAAGGTCTGCTTACTTTCAAGAACTGTATATAGCCCTAACTATTTTTCTCATTTTTTAGAAACTTACTTTGGAAAGTTTGAGTGTAAACAGGACCAGCAGATGTCCCTGTCAGTAACATTTACAGTGTGTGCTCTAGGCCAGTTTCATCCCACCGTGCTCTCTGTACAATTAATATTCTCAAGCAAATCTCACAAAACAGATTATTTCATTTTCTGTTAACTAATTGATACAGACACATTATATTCTCATTGTTTTTCAAGTAAATAACTGTGAGGTGATCCTCCAGAGGCAATTTCTTAGTGCCGGCCCTGCAGTCATTTCAGTGGTTTGTGATATTATTACAGTATCTGCAGCTTACACTGGTTTCTCTTTTCTGCTTGGTTATTTTCTCATTTCATCCTAGCCTATAATTATGTGTGGAGTGAGTGGCATTTATTTATTCTGCTGTAAAAGGTAGGCTCGCTGAACCATTCTTCCCGGCATGCCCTTATAATAATGCGATCTAACACATCTACATTAGCGTCAGTCTTCAAAGTAGTCCCCTTGGCAGGCTGTTTATTCACTGGTGCAGACTTTCACACAGTGTTTTATAACTCCTCTTTTGTAATTGCCTTCAGAAATACTTGCAGTCACCCAGGGAACTGAGTCTCATTACTTTGATCCAAACCAATCATTATCTAGCAAAAACAGGGAATTTAATCACCCATTCAAATTCTTGGACTTGACTCTGAGTAACAAGCTCATGGCTAAAACTTAAATCTTCCAGCAAGAAATGTTGATTCAGGGACAGGATCTTTAAAAACCTGGAGGTGCAGACCCTAGAAAGAAAGAGTGGGGGGAGAGAGAGAGAGGAGAGAGAGAGAAATTAGTGCTCTGACTGCTGGGACTAGAAAGTCCTTCAGTAGTGGCAGAAGGGTCCAGTAGGTTAGGGAAAGGGTCAGTCCCTAGGTCAGAGAGGATGCCAGCCAAACAGGCTTTATTCCACCCTGTTCATTGCCTCAGAAAACTGCTTCGTGCTGCCAAAGGAGCGCTACCCCATGCTGCCCAGGAGACGTGGCACTGTCTGGAAGCCATCCTCCACGCGATGGCTGTATGGTGGGCTGTGAGCTTGTCCAGGCTGACACACTGTGCAAGCTATTCCAGTAGCTTCTTACATCACACAGTATCTCTTGGAGCATGTGTCAGTGGCTTCAGTTCACCTGGCCTCCAACACAGGAGAGATTCCAAGACGCTGTTAACGCCTGTCATTGAAGTGTTGAAGAGAGAAAAATATACCTCCCTCCTGGGATTGAGATTATTTTCACTTCAGAATTGAATCATTTGGGTAGAAAGAGGAGTTCTTGCCGTGAGCTAGGGCTCTGCTTCTCTGTGATCATTGCCACGGGTAATTATTATGTAGCTTTAGGTGTTAGATTGTGAGCGTAGCCAAGAGTCAGTCCAGATCTTATGGAATAATGATTAGCAGTGCTCGCCAAGTGTTTTTGTACAGTTTAGCCCAACAGCATCACCTACACCAGCACTAATCTCACCGTGGCTGGAGCACTCTTGCCTGGTGGTCCCTGTTGGTTTCTTGGAACAACTTAAGGAAAAGTGAAAGAAGTCTCCTTTCAAAGCTTGGGAATGTCTATGGGCAGGAGAAAGTTGGGCGAAGGGAGGACCTGCCACCTAGTGGCGAAAGATCTAAAAGACACTCTTGACTCTAAGGAAGGCAAAGGAAACAAGCCACTCTGAAGAATGCCAGTAGGAAACTGCAGAACAGAAAGAAAGAAAGCCAAGACACCGAGCCTCGTGAACGGCTTGCCAAAGAGTGACTGGGAATGAGTAGGAGCTGTCCAAGAGCAGTGTGTGAGGTTCCCACCAAGGCCTGCTGTTGAGGAGGAAGAGCTACAGAGCTTGTGGCTCGAGGCCACGTTATAGCGTTCCCTATGGAGGTTCCCTGAGTGTGAGAAACCAAAGTGCCCAACCAAGGGCCTCATAAGTGTTGGATCCAGTCCCTACCCCATCCCTGAAAGCTGTTCGCTAAGTGATAATAATAATAATAGTAATAATAGTAATAACAATAACGATAATTCTAGAATACAAGAAGAAAACTCATCTCACCAGAGACCTGCGACTGCACTGTATGTGGTCATGGGACAGTGACTCGACTACAGGCACAAAACCAGGGAGCAGCAGAAATCGGAGGTTAAGCAAGGTCCAAGAGTGACTGGCTGACCCCAGACCTGTTCCCAGAGGGGCGTCCAGGGGTGTCTGTCCTTCTACCTTTGGCTAGAGGAGCCTTGCCAAACAACTTCCTGGGGAAAGTTGATGACTGGGGACCATGTGATGAGTGTGGAGATGGAACTGAAAAGACCAAAGGTCTCTTCCGGTCTGGCCTGAATTAAGAGACACACTTGTCCCAGCACACACCTGGCTGGTATAGGGTCACCTTAATAGCAGCCCTGCAAGTGGCTGGATGCAAAAGTAGATGTGTCATGTGAGTCATCATCTCCAACTGACAGAGATGGCTCAGAGGTTAAGAACACTCGCTGCTCTTCCAGAGGTCCTGAGTTCAAGTCCCAGCAACCACATGATGACTCACACCCATCTGTAATGAGAACTGGTGCCGTCTTCTGACCTGCAGGGATACATGCAGACAGAACACTAAATACATAATAAATTAAAAGAAGAAAGAAAGAAAAAGGATCTTTTGAAGCCCTGCCTCCAATGAGTTGTACCATGTTCGGATTCTTCATTGTTTCTTAGTCAGAACAGTGGTCCTGATGACCCCTTATTCTCTACCCATATTATGCATAAAAACAGCTTCAAACAATTTAAAGGTACACATGAAACACAACCTGAATTCTGTCTGCTTAAAGCTTGCCTGGAGATTTCTAATTTTTTCATGTGAAAATGTTTAGACTTGTGTTGAGAGGTGTATATTTTTATCTCTGTAACATTGAGTTCTAAGCCAGAGATAGTGACACATGCTTACAATCCTAGCACTTGTAAGGTTGAAGCAGGAGGATTACCAGGAATTCAAGGCCACCACAGGATACAGTACCAGAACAGTCACAGGCATCAAAACACTATGTCAAAAGAAAAAAAAAAAAAAAGTAAAGCGAACACTAGGCACAGACCATCAGCCGCCAAATAAGAAATTTCCTGCATGAGAGTTTATGTGTGCGCCTCTGTGTGTGTTTGTGTGTGTGCGTTTAAACACAATTCTGTGTACTCAGGACATCTGCAGTGTTCATTTGAAGTTTGTCCTGCTTGCTTCTGAACAATAAAGCCAGCCATGGCCTTCCTGCTGCTCTGAGCAGACATCCTAGTCTCAGGAACCTGCTCCCCACTCTCACTGAGGTGGTGACATTCACTGAGGTGGTGACATTCACTGAGGTGATGACATTCGTAAGACAGGGGAAAGCAATCTTCATAGTCACACCGCTGCTTGTGTCTTTGTTCATGTGCACGAGCTGCCTGTGTTCACTGTGTGTGCGCATTGATCTTGTGTGGTGTAGGCACGTGTTTCAAGTGGCTATCATGGATTTTGTTCCTGTTTTCAGTTTGGGTTCATTAACATGTAGCTGTGAAACAGGTGTTCTCTGAGCCTTATTCACAAAAGCCTAAGTTCCCCCTCTCTCCCCTCTCCCTCCCTCCCTCTCTACCTTCCCCCATCTGTATTTGCCGTGGGCAGGACATGCTTTGTTATTCTTTTCTTTCTGTTTCTTTTCTTTTTTGTTTGTTTGTTGTTGATGGTGGTGGTGGTAGTATTAGTGATTTTGTTTGTTTGTTTGTTATTTTGAGACAGGATCTCACTATCTAGCTGTGGCTGTTCTACAACTCACGTGTAGACCAGGCTAGCCTCCAACTTCCAAAGATCCACCTGTGTCTGGCTCTCCTGCCCCCTTAATCTTTTCTAAGTTGCAACTGGACAACCCCAACCTGCACTCTTGCCACAGCTAGTTAGAAAACAAGGCTTGCTGTCTCCCTTTTCCATCTTATTCTTCCAGGGACCTACACAGATGCACAGCTTGCTGCCCTGGGGTTTTTCTTTTAGACACTAATAAAATTTTCCTCAAGGCTTCTTCTGAACCTAGTCCTAATTTTTTTTATTAACAAGTCTAAGAACACAAAGGAGAGACTCCATTTTCTCATGTGATAATATTTGGACATTGAAAATGCACCAAAAAACTTTTCTATGTACGACATTTCATACTAAGTAAATAATTATTCCTAGAACAGGAGTTACTAAATCAAGGACCTATAGTTTAAATTTTACCCCGTTACTCTTTTTGGCTAGCCTCGAAGTTACAATCCTCCTGCCTCAGCCTCCCTAGAGCTAAGATGCCACCACACATGCTTTTTAGAAACTGCATGCACCAATTTCCATTTTTAAATAGATATTTCATTCTTTTTCCACAATTGTAACAACACAGAGTTGGCAAACTTTGTTCTTGTCAAATTGCTGTTTACCTTGTAATGAGGCTGGAGTGAGTATCAGGTCAGGGCCACTGATGTTGCCTTCCCCATGAGCTGTGAGTTTTGTCTTCTTGCCTGATGTTCCGTGTCACTGTTGATCTTGTTTTATTTTATCCATGAGATTTTTTTCTTTTGTAGGAATTTACCTCAATCATATACATTTGATTTTTTTCCCAATTTGTCCTTCAGCTTTTGATTTTCCTTCAGTCTTTTTGTCTGCAGAAATAATTATCACTGCATAGTCAGCTCTATTAATATCTGTGTGTTTTGTTTTCTGACTGAGACAGGAAACCTAGGCCTTTCCCAGGAGTGCTTTTTAACAAACCGTGCAGGATTAAGATGGAAACTGCAGCTTGACCATATTCTGTCTTCTTGTTTATTTTCTGATTTTCTCGGTTTGAGAGGAATTTGTCAAGGTAGTAAAGTTATAACTCATTGGTACTCCCTTGCCTAGTGGGTTGCGCACTGAAATCAAATAAATAATAAATAAACAGATCATGGTCTATGCTGTGATTAGAACATAGGCGTTATTGATTAGGCTGGGTACTTTCTGAGTTTTCTCTTCATTTTTGTCTAATTAATGAATAATTACTTAAAATGTTGTGTGCCTTGAAGCTATAGGAAGCTACACATGATGCAGAAGCTAGACATGATTTCTCCTCTTTCTCTTAACTGGTCCATACCCTGTTTGTCTGTCTGCCACCAAGTTTTTGTTTCTTTATGAGCAAAGTGCCACTTGAAATTTTTTAAGGGGGGGGGGGGGGGGAGATGTGATGTGTTGATGTTGGCCTGCATTTTTATATGCAGGCAATGTGTAAATGCCTATAATTTTAAATATTCATACACTTAGCATAGTTCTTATTTTTAAATAACATAAGCTTCCTAAATTTTTTTGCTTATTTTTTTTTTTTACCAAAAGTAGATATTTTGTAAGATTAAGGGGTGTAGTGATGACTGTGCATGAATCATCCTAATCAAGCTACCTTGCTAGAGGATGAGTTGCCTGTGGTTTCCCATGGAAGCTATTGATAGAAGGGAGTTCTTATTTAATATGTTACAGAGTGGAAGCCTTTGTTAGGGACTGCCTGTAGAATCAGTTCTTACCTTACACCTGGGAGTTCCAGGGACCAAACTCCGGTCATCAGGTTTGCCATCAAGTGCCTTTTCCCACTGAGCTGTCTTCTCAGCCCAATAGTAAAACTATTCTTTATAAATCACAATATTTATAGGAGAAATGTGTCAGTTTTTATATCCACCCACTGATAAGTCATTTAAAAGTTATTGGTCCCCATACTTTATACTAAATCAATAATGCTGATAATAATTTTGAGAACCCTTAACTACAACCTGCTAACAAAAATATCTTATATAATTTTGGTAATTAACCAGCCACACACTGGTAAAGGAAGCTGTATAATATTCCAAGCACTCATTGATTTTACTTCATCAATTTTGAGGATGCTATCGGTTATATTATATTTTCCTTTATGATCTCACCTTTTTATGTCATGGGTTTAAGATGTGTAAGAAAGTCTTGGAACTTGACACATTACCACTGTCAAAACTCTGTAACTTAAAATTAAATTGTGGTTAAGAACTTCTAGGTTATGATTACTTCTTCCTTGGAGATGTTGGTTTTTCCTCAGTCAATTCTGAAACTTTTGTACAGACAAAGTTCATGTCTAGATTTTCAAGATACTTTCAAGTATTTTGACGTGCCCACTTACATGCTCCTTGTTCTTGGTTTGATTTTCTTAAGTGCATAGTCATGAGATTAATAATAGATCAGAAAGTTAGTATAGGTCATATTTCTTTCATTTGTTGATGTAAAGAGCCAGCCACAATACAAATCCCATATACGTACGTTCATCATTGCTTTCCTTTCTGTACAACATAAGATGATAGACTCAGAACTGTTTTTACACATATGTATAAATGTTGAAAAACTATGTAAATATATTATTGTTCACATTTTTATATTTCATAAGATCATTTGTGTATGTCACTACATATAAAGAGTTCTCATGCAGCCAAAGTAAAAACCTATTTTAATAACCTCATTAATACTTAGACTCTTTTTTAAAAAATTATAGTCATGAAATCAATTATTTGAATTTATTGAGGGTAATCATTCATAATTAGATAAAAGTAAATGAGTAAGCAAGTCTGTATAAACAAACCAACGTTACTTTATTTTTTTCCCACTTTAGGCAGAGCTCACAGTTTGGAGATGAAAAAACATTTAATGACCCATCATTGCTGGAAAACCTCCAGAATAACCATGTGAGTGTCACCAGAGCGTTATCTGTCCCCAATAGATGAGCACTCATAAGCATTTCTCTGCTGCCCTCCATGGTTTTTGTTTTTTGTTTTTACTTGTGTGACCTTTTTTAGATTTATTTTATTTTATGTGTACCAATGTTCTAAATGTCTGCTGTGTCAAATCTTTCCCTAGATTTGAAGAACTTTCTGTTGTGATTTTATTGAGCCTATTTTATATGCTCCCTCTAAATAGGAAGGGGATTTAGGATATTGTTAAGAGTAAACAGAATTTATGTATTATTAAAGCTAGAGGGAAATTGGAAAGTATATAGAGGGCAGAGTGGGGAGAAAAATGGAAGTAGGAATGAGAGGGTTGTAGATATGAGAAATAGAGAGAACACAATAGAATACAGAAACGGAACAATCTTACCTAGTTGAGCAATATAAAATATGTAAGTGCCAGTGGGCATTCTTTTTTAAAAACAGCAAAAAATGAAATTAAACTAAAACACAAGGTGCTATATCATAAGTCAGAATCTCTTCTTGCATATAGTGTTAGAGAATGCCTCTGTTCTCCTTCAGGTGTCATAGTTTTAACTGTGTTGCTAAGAGCAAGAGCACCACCTGCTCATCCTGACTTACGACATAGCCTGAGTATCTACTGCAGTTAAGTGTTGCCTACATTTCCCCTGTCCAGACAGCCAGTGTTCTCCAGCCTTCTCCCTCTTCCCCCCCCCAATCTCCTGGTTTGTGTCTTCACTGATGGAATGAGAACTGCCCTGGAATCAAGTCATCCCTGGCTTCCCTCTTTCCTTACAAAGTGTCCTGATCTGACCCCATCCTACATCACCACTCTGTCTTGTGTCACTTTTTCTTTCTCCCTGCCAGAGGCCACCATGGCCTTCTTTTATTTTTTCAGACACTTCAGTCTTTCTCCCTTTGGGACCTTTTCAGTTACATGCAATTCTTCCCTGTGGAATTATCTGTTCTCGGTTCTTCATGAAGTTCAGATGTCATCCATACAGCTATCTCCATATCTCATGGACAGCCAGCATCTCCTGTCACCTCACATGATATTTGCATGTTCCCTTTACAGTCCTTAGCATACTGTCAATAAACAGTGCAGCCACTTTGGTTTGCTCCGTCTCCAAAAGTCTAAGCTTCATTGCTGGGCTGCGTGTGCTTAGTCCACTCTCAGACTAAACAGCTTTTGTTTCCATAACCCAACTTAACCTTCTCAATTGGTTTACTTTATTTTGGAGGTTATACAACATTGACATACATCAGGTTTTCTTTACCAATTTGAATGACATTTCTCTCTAGAAGTCAGACAGGAAGATGTTTACTATTTAGTGTCTAGGTTCTTTTCTCATCAGATCTGAGATACTTACAGAAAGGATTCACTCTTCAGTCTTCCTCAAGCCTGAAGAGTTGATAGTGCTCAATAATTGCTTGTTTGTTTTAGATAGATAGATAGATAGATAGATAATAGATAGATAGTGGGTGATAATGGATTGATAGATGGGTGGATAGATAGATAGATAGATAGATAGATAGATAGATAGATAGATAGATAGATAGATGGAGAGATAGACAGATGATAGAAAGAGGGATTGATAGATAGATATAAATATATAGATGATATATTAGAGAAAGGGAAGATGGGATTACAGACAAATGCATACATTATCATCCCCACTCAAAGGTTAGATGCCTGGAATTTCAATCTGACTAGAAATCACAAACAAATAAGTGAACATTCTAGAAAATCTCTTCTGTCCACTAACAACCAAACTCATCATCTTTTTCTACAATTTCTGCTTAAGAGCACAAAATCATGTTAAATAAATGTTTACAGAATGAATGAGGAAGTAGAAGAACGAATAAATTGACTTTAAATAGGTTTTCTTCGTAATAGATATTGGCTGTAATCCCACACCCCCAATGCTTCCCAGCTGTGCTCTTAATAAATGGCCGTGAAGTAACATTACTGCCGTTAGTGTCAAATGTTTAAATGAACGGGATGAATTATGTGTTTATTCCTCACAGCCGACCGCACCTATCATTTGTGAATTTCTCACAATGATGGCAGTCTGCCACACAGCTGTACCAGAGAGAGAAGGCGAGAAGATCCTCTATCAGGCGGCATCTCCAGGTACAGGGCAAGCAGCTGTGGAGTATCTACAAGCAACTGTAGAAAGTTGTTCTGAAATTTAGTATTATGGAACTTAAATTTCCAATTTAATTTAAAAAATAGAACATAACCAAATTATTATTTTAGACTAAAGAAAACTGGCTCCTAATTACAAACTTGGCTTTCAGGATTAAATATTATTTGTGTGTGTATTAAAATGTATTTCTTCGTATATGATTTTTCTCAAATTATATGAAAAATTGAGGGAATAAATGTATTTGTATACATGTAATTGTTCCCCCTATAAATAAGCATAAAACTCTTGCATAATGTGTTTTACACATAGACAGATGGGAAGGAGGGATTTGTTTGCCTAAATAAAATTGATGTGTTTAGTTTTAGAACATAATTCTGTCCCTCTCTTTAGGAAATGGTGGGTCACCTTTTCTGTATTCACTTAGGTGAGGAAAAGAGTCTTGCACTTTGCAGGATTCTGTAAAATACTTACTAGTTACCAGTGTTTATTATTTAGGCTTGATTTTAGACTGATTTCCAAGATAAAGTTATGTAAATAATCCAAACTTTCAATGAAATGCTTTGTATTTTAAAACCATAATCTAAACTAGTGGTTATGACTTGTAAAATGCATCAAATTCCTAAAGCAGCATAAGAAATATTGCTGCTCTATATATGTAAATGTATATATATATAGAGAGAGATGGGGATGAGCGTCTTATCCCTCTCGGCAATGACAGGGTTTGGTGACACAGTGAGGAAAGCAACTGTCATAATCTAAGCCTGTTCACTTCAAGTGATTCAGATCCCCCGGCACTGAAATGAACATTCAACCGTCTAGGGAGAAAGGATAAAACTTTAAAAGACTTTCTGCCACGTGTTTGAAGGAAGGTGTTCTCAAATGTAGACTGACCCAGGGGCCCTTTCAAGCTGTCACTTCTGGGTGTGGGTGACTAACAGTGAGACTCGGGCTCAGGAACTGAAGTTGTTCTCGCTCCTCTGCCAACATTATACACGTAAAATGGAATGGATTTCAGAGCATAATGAAAAGAATTCTAATAGAGCAGAAAACTGCATTATGCCAGTGTCTTTCCCTAACATTTGCATATATTAAATTTTTCTGTCCTCTGTTTCTTTCACCTGTTCCCCTGACACAGACGAGGGAGCACTGGTCAGAGCAGCCAAGCAGTTGAATTTTGTCTTCACTGGAAGAACTCCTGACTCGGTCATCATAGATTCAGTAAGTCACTTACGTGTTAAGGGCTTCCTAAAGCCTACATTAACGCTTTCACACAGCTTCAGAGATAAACACGGTAAGGAAAAGATCACAGTGCAACCAAAGGTTCCTAGCCAGGGGCACAACTGTCCATCCTTTCACTTAGTTCTAGAAACACTTAACGAAATTGCGGCTGATCATATGCTTAGTAGACAATATTGATTCTTCAAAGCTAGACTTATCTACCGATTTTCTGTTCTAATAAATGGAAATTTATCTCCCTTGTGTCATCCGTCTTCCCGTTTGTTTCTTCTCTAGATTCCAGACGTTATTAAATATTTAACTATATAAGTATCCAGAACGCTGGGCATAGTGCATAGGCCTGTTATCAAAGTGCATGGGAGGTAAGAGACAGGAGGATCTGGGGTTCAGAGCCAGAATGAGCTACATAATGAGTTTGAAGCCAGCCTGGGCTACTTGAGACTCTGTCTCAAAACAGCTAACAACAATAAAAAGGTAATTCTTCGGCTTCTGCTTTGAAGTGGGAAGTTTTGAATAGATATTATCACAGCAGGTGACATCAGAATAGCTACATGACAGACCATGGCTAGTCATCAAGGAAGCAAAACACCCACTGTGAAGACAAAAATTTAAACAATGTTGATGGAAACAAATGTTAGTGGGTTTTTAAAAGAGTTTTCTAATAAAGGAAAGCCTGCTTCCATCCAGCAGCTATACTCAGTTACTCAGGAGAAAAGGAAGTTGTGTTCACCAAGAGACTTATAATGGGGTGTTGTTCATGGTGGCTGTGTTCATGGTTCCGCCAAACTGGAAACAAACAGAATGCCTATCAGCAGGAGAGGACGAACAGGTTGTGATCCATCTGATAATCTAAACTGTGGAAAAGCGTGGATTATTGATTCTTCTGTAGTGTGGATAAATCACAAAAACTCTATATTGAGAAGGGGAAAATGCCAGGCACAAGGGAAAGCATCCATATAACTCCATCTGTATGCAGCTGCAAACCGTGCAGAAGTGATTTATAGTGATAGAATCTTCAACAGCCATTGCCTGGGGCCAGGGAGAAGATTGATTGGAAATAAAACAAGGGAATTCATTATGGGTCAGATGTTCTGCATCTCCAACAGGGTGGTGTTTACACAGACGGCACCTTTATCAACCTATACAGTTTGCATTGAAGATCTCTGTGTTTTATATAATGGAAATGATATCTCCTTTTAAAAGTTATTATTAGTATTTCTATTGTACCTATACATGTATTCATAGTTAAGCTATGAGTGGTATCTTTTTATTAAACTCTTTACTGACTCAATTTTTTTCTTAAAAATTAAATTTTCCATTATTTCCTAAAATTAAATTTTTGACTCTTTTTCTTATTGTTTTATTTTCTGTCTCTGACTTCCTGGGTCCATACCTTCTTAGCTAGTAACCTCTGCACAGCCACAATAGCTAATCTTGTCTGTTGGCAGTTCTGTCACAGTCTCCTCAGCTGATCTCTGGCCTGCTTCCATGACACTTGGAATGCTTCTGAGCCCTCAATATTTGTCAACCTAAAAGTTTAGTGAATTCCCTCCCATCATTCAGGAGGGGGAAGGGAAACTATGTTTGTATTGACATTTTACAATAAAATTTTTTGCCCAGTGATTATTTCCAAGAAACCTAACATATTTCCAATTCTTTTATTCTGCAGCTGGGGCAGGAAGAAAGATACGAATTGCTCAATGTCCTAGAGTTCACCAGGTAAAGACACCTGCTCTCTACTTTGTGAGGGGAAAAATACATTTTCATCCTCTTTTCGTTTTTCCTATATATATCTGGAATATATTATTTACTTTCATTTATGTGTTTAAGCAAAATACTAACATCTCCCGTGTGGTTTAGGTGCCCTGTTAGTAGATAAGTCATACACAGGTTTCTTCACGGTGGTACTCCATGACTTCTGCTGACAGCTTAAAAATTCTTTTTGAAATGCAATGGCCTCAGTCACACATGCAGGATAGGACTAAGAGTCCTATGGCTGGTATATTAGTTAGCTTTCTGATATAATAACAAATGCCTGAAATAATCACCTTATAACGATAAGTTTATTTCGACACATTTTAGAGGTTCCATTCCATGATCAATGAGCCTTAGCTACTTTGGACCTGTGGTGAGGTAACACAAGAGACAGGAACACAGGGTAAATCTACTCACCTCATGGCCTGATGGTCCTACTAATGAGCCTTCAAAAGTTGCATTAGTGCTCATGAGACACTTCAAAACCTGAAAGAGAACAAGAAAGGAGACTCCAGTTTCACAGTCCCCCTCAAGGCATACCCAGAATGGCCCAAAGACCTCTTACCTTTTAAAGGTTCCCACCTCCCAATAACAGCTTTCTAGGATCAATCCTCCACACATGGGCCTTTGGGGGGTAGATTTCAGTTCCAAACTATATCAGCTAAATACCTAAAAACTTCCGACATTTAGAGGCATCAAGATTTGTGTGGGATAAAATTAGTAAGAGTTAGGAAGCCTCCATTATAATTTTATGTTCCTTAGGTCCACTTGTCTCTGTAAAGTAAGTATTACCATCTAGTAGGAAGGAACAGAAAGCAAAGTGAGTGTCCCACACACTCCTTTCTTAAAGAGAAATGATGTAGGCTGTGTTGATCACTGGGAAAAGATTCTGCCAGAAGTAACATAAAGTAAGAAAGATTGTGTTGGCTTGTATTTTAAAAGGATACAGTCCATATGGCAGGGACACCAGGCATGTTGCAAAGAGCTCGTGGCATGTCTCGTTAAAACTCTATGAGAAGAAGGCCAACTCATAATCCTGAAGTCCTCTCCTCCAGGAACACCTTTTAGCCAAGTAGGCCTCATCTCCTAAAGTTCTCAGGACTTCTTAAAATAGTTCTCCAATGAGAGACCAAGAATCAAATATGGGAGCTTATGGAAATGTCTTTACATTCCAGCTGGAGCGAAGGCCTTCAGCTATATCACTCTAGTCTGACTTACATTATGCATTACTGCCCAGCCACCCTCTCTTCTTGGGACAAATTGGTCTTACTACAGGGTCTTTAAGAAGTATACTGCCACTCAAAGGACAATTACGAAGGCAATGCTTTGTTTGAGGAAAGAAATGCCCGCCTGTTTTCCTGAGCTTTCTCCTACATAAGCAGAGTTACACAGTGCCTGGGAGAGACACTTCCTTTGGTTTGCTAACTTTGGTTGCTGCCTTGATCTGGAGTGACTGCATGGTCAAATAACGGTCTGCTGAGATATTAAGCACCGAACTTGCACTATATTTTCTAAACAGCTCAAAGGAAGAAACTGAGTTAATTGGCCAGGATAGAATATTCCCACATACATCGCTCATCTCTGTCTGCATGATAAAATGTTTTTCCCAGCCCTGTTTGTGTTATAGGTAATATAAGCAGCAGATGAATTAGCATACAGATGTGGGTTGTTGTTGGTTTTCTTTTTTTTTTTTTTTGACACTCTATGCTTAGGAAAAGTGCCATGGAGAAAAATAAATCAAAAGTAGGACTTTCAAGTCTTTGATTCTGTAGTGTGGGTAGGCTTAAGAATGGCAAGGGAAAGGAACATGATGCTTTCAAATAGTCTCTGTGCATGTGTTAGCAGTTTGGATCAGGATAACCGGGGTGAGATGAAGATAGGTCCATGGGCTTCTTACACCTATTTGTGGGAGGTCAGTGGAACTTGGCTATAGATTGGATGGTGGGGCAGCAACAAAGAGAAGGAAGTCAAGGGCTAGGATCCTAGCTTGAACAACTGGGTATGTAGGAATTCCCTGTATGTGGGTAGCAGACATAGGAATAGGAACAAATGTGGTAGATGAGATGTTTAGAAACTCTATCCTTTAGATATCTGTGAGATGTACAGACAGAAGTGCCGGAAACATAAAACCAAAGCTATGGCTGAAATACTCATTCAGTAGTCACTGATCTCCAAATTATACCAAAAGCTTGAAAGTCAATAGAATCTTCTGAAGATAAAATACAGTCCAAGAGGAAAGTGGAAGGCTGATGACTGGGTCACTAGTTAGAAATAACTAGAAATAATTCTGTTAAGGATTGAGTACAAAAGAATGAGCCAAATCTTGTGACACAGGCCTGTAAGCTGAGCTACTTTGGAGACAGAAACAAGAAGACCACAAGTTCAAAGCTTCCCTGGGCTACAGACTAAGTTTAAGGACAGCTCAGGCCACATACTTAGAACTTGCCTTGAAATAAGAAATGGCCCGTGTGGTAAACTTCAGCAAGAGTGCTTGGTGAGCATGAGCAACTATTGCAAGAGATTTGGGATGGTCGGATTCAATAAAATAAAATCTTCATTGTTAAAGATACAGAGGACAGAAGCAGACTGATAAATAGTCCAGAGCTGAGAGAAATCTCCAGAAGAGTGATTGTCAATTCAGAGGCAGCTGTCAGCGTGGCTAAGGGGAACTTTGAAAAAGATCTGTCAAGTATTCATTGGGACGGTGGGAAGATGGGAATGGAGGGAGGGGCGTGGACCCTGTGTATGGACATACTTCACCCAGAGTTGAGTTATAGAGTTGACAGGGCCTGTGACTCACGGGGGGGGGGGGTGCCTGGCTAGGTGAGGCATAAGGGAGACACTAGAACATGCTGTGGATAAATATGATCCACATAAAAGGGGGAAGGGGCAGATTCACAGGAGAGCTTCATGACTTTAGGGTGAAGCTGCTGAGAAGGTGAGGCGAGTGATTTAACAGTCATATGCAAGGAAGGGCTTTGATAAAAGCAGAAATATTTCTCCCTCGTGTCAAGAAAATACAACGGAGGAGGGAACACACACAACCAGATATGTAGGCTGCAAAATGTGGGGGGGGGGTTCAAGGTGAGCCCCCAGAATTCAGAGTCTAGCGCTGGGAAGAAGCCAGGCAGGACTTGGAGAGTGAAGGATGTGTGTTGAGGCCCTGCAGGGATGAGGGACTGCAGGGGCGAAGGAGCCAGCTTCGCAGAGGGATGAAATGTAGCCGTGGTCAGCATGGAGCACCTCTGCTTTGTACATCCCACAGCATTCATCTCTGACTCGGTGACTTTTCTCTGCAATGTCCATTTTACTCTGATGGATCTCAGAAGACGGTTCCCAGTTACACTTAGAGATCTTGCCAGGAGAAGTAAATTGATGAATCAGGGACCATTAAATCAGAACTAGACTAAGAATGGCAAGATTCAAGAAGGACTGAGTTAATGTGTGTAGGTGAGACCAGTTTACTGTATTCATGAAGTAGTGTTTCCATGCTGACTGAGGTTTCACTTCTCCATGGTCGACCATATTCTAAAAATATCTGATGGGAAATTCTAGAAGCAAACAATTCCTAAGTTTCAAATACCCTTTATTAAAGTAGATTCTTATAATTTTTGTTTTAGTCACTGTCATTAATTGCTTAATTAAACAATTAAGCATTGTCATAGGTATTTATGTACAGGAAAAAATGCATTATTGGGTTGATACTGTCCCCAGTCTTTGGCATCTGCTGGGGGTCTTGAACTGTATCTCTCTCAGTAAGGGGCCTGCTATAATCATTTAAACAGTAATAAATGCTTATATTGCTTCTTAAAAGTAGTAGCATGTGCCTTTATCTGTGATTATATATTTAAAATTATTTTTGTTTTTAATTTTAAATATTCATATAATAGGGTACTACTTCAAATAGTTTTCAAATATTAACATATTAAACATGATGCTACTCTAGTGGTTATTAACTCTTATAGGTGTCTGGGGCACTGTTTCCTTTATTCCTTTAGGACAGTAGATGTACTCTGGTGACTTCAAAAATATAATGCAACACTCCAAGGCACCCAGCCTTACAATCAGGATACAGTTTGTATATATGAAAGAATATGGCTCGTAATTTGGTCAGATTAACTTTGTCACTGTGAGCATTAAAATACGTGAAGCACAACAAAAACATGTCCATGCAGATCTTCAGTGTGATGACCCCTTACGGAAAAACCTCTCTATTTCAGCGCTAGAAAAAGAATGTCCGTGGTGGTTCGCACTCCATCCGGGAAGTTACGGCTTTACTGCAAAGGAGCTGTAAGTTTTTTTGCCTTTTACAGTTTTGATTTATGGTGGTTTATAATGTACGTGTTAGGCATCCCGCTATGGAAATGGAACACAGATGTTTAACATGAAGCTGATGACATCCACTTTTGTTGGTGTTTTATAGTAACAGCGTTCAGCCTCTTCTGGCCAAATGTGGAATTCCTTCTGGGTAAATTGGCGCATTGAAAAAGTCTGGCGTGGGTTTCTTTGTAATTCAATTTTTAATACATGATATTTGAGGCTCGTGTTATATTAGCTATGTTAGCGGATGACTAAATACAGAAAATATTTTTAAATTGTATTAGAATATGACGGTACACTCCAATTTTAATCTACTTGCCTAAAGACCGTAGAAATAGGGTGAGGGTTGGCTCATAATTATTGCTGTAATTTCTCATTTGTTATTGCTTGTTTGTCTTGCTTTAAATATTATAGGATTGCTGGTTGTTGGTTGGCTTCAGTATGTAAGTAGATTATATTGGCAGAAAAAGTACTGTGTATTCCAACTGAATTTTCCCAGTTAAAGCATGTTTAGACTCATGGAAAAAATAAGAACCCTACAAGCCAGGCCTTTCTTTGCTAAGGCCAGTCAGGATTTTCCTCCTGAGGTGCCCTTTGCCTAGTAAGCCCTTCGTACATTTCAGCTTGGAATTTCAGTTTTAAATGGACTAGATAAGTGTTCTTTGTTCCTGGGAAACTAAGCTTAAGAAAGCCAAAAGTCTTGTTTAAATTCCCGATGAGAAAGTTAAATACCTTGGTTTTAAACCATCAAAACACGATTTTCTAAGGCACCTTGGTAGAATTATTTCGTGATGTCTTCTGAATTTGGATGTACCCTTTGGTTCTTGATCAAGAAGCCAAACGTGTTCATCATGAATGTTTTATCACCAGGCTTTGAACTGGATTTTAGAGATGTGAGAATAAGACCTAAGTCATGTCGGGAGCCTAAGTCTAGCCAGGGAAGTGCATACGTGATGCTAAGTCACGTGGCACAGATTGTCCATGTTCCTATGGCAACATGCACAGTAATGATAAAAGGAAACTAAGACCTCCCCCCCATTCACTGGTTGGCATCCATCTGGTTTACAACACCCAAATCACATCTTTCCTTTTTAAAATTTTGAACAGTCTACCTCTAAACATTTATTGGAGGTATTAAAGCATTGGATAGAAAGTAAAAACATTGGATTTCCTTTTTTAACCACAGAGATTGTTTGCACATATTATCGTCCGTATTGTATTATTTCCCTCCAGAACAGAGATAAATAGTAAAACAGCAAGGACTGTTTGAGAGCCGTAGTTTGCAGAACCACATGGAACAGCTGAACGTGGGCCAAGCAGAAGGGTTTGCATGGTTCCGGTTTGGGTGGGGGGGGTTGGGTTGAGTTTGCCCCCGTTGCTCTGCTCAAGAGCAGGTATTTTCTTCTTGATCATTTCCATGATATTGGGGATGATGATTTGGGGGCTGCAGACAGATGCAGGCAGAGGTTCCGGCTGAGCGTTATCGTGTCTTCCTGGCAGGAGCTGCCAGGGATGGGTGGAGACAGGCACAGAGAAGGTGACTGGGAAGGAAGATTTAAGGCTTGGTAATTGATGTTTGCAGGTGCTGAAGGAAAGGATTATCAGGGATCATTGGGGGATTTCTACTTGCCTTGCCGAGTGGACTAACAGCACTTTGCCAAGATAGAGAGCTGGGAGTTACACGGGGCTATCAGGTGCCAAAGCCTGGATTTCCCAGGAAAAGAAGTTGGTGTAAAAGAATCTGGAAAAATGAGCCAGCTTTCAAGAGTTCTTGTTTAGTTCCAAAGAATGTGAGTTTGGTTTCTAGCACCTACACAGCATCAGGGAACCCTGATCTAGCCTCCAGGGGCATCTGCACCATGTGACATACATTCACACAATGGGGGGAAGGGGCACAATCCTTTCCATGTTCCTTGGTTGTCTGTAGTTCATTGCCTGTGGGTGGGACCTATGGTACTTGGAATGAAAATGGCCCACATAGACTCATAGGGAGTGGCACTATTAGGAGGTGTGGCCTGGTTAGAATAGGTGTGGCCTTGTTGGAGGAAATGTTTCACTAGGGATGGGCTTTGAGGTTTCAGAAGCTCAACCTAGGCCCAGGGGCCTACTCTTCCTGTTTCCTGAAGATCCAAATGCAGAACTCTCAGCCCCTCTCCAGCACCATGTCTGCCTGCATGTCACCATCCTTCCTGCCATGACATTAATGGACCAAACCTCTGAACTATAAGGCATCCCCAATTAAATGTTTTTCTTTATAAGAGTTGCTGTGGTCATGGTGTCTCTTCACAGCAATACAAACCCTGACTAAGAGAGGGCTCCTGGGATTTCACCCGTCATTGTCTATCTTCCCCATCATTCCTGGGAGACACAGTCTCACAACAGACTTTCTTATCTTTCTAACCCTCTCGCCCATGATATTCCCTGAACCTTAGGTACAGATGCTGTATTGCAAATGTATCTACTGTGGCTAGCTGGGCTCCCCACAATCGGTTGCGGTTTTGTGTAATGGTCCCTGTTTGCTACAAGGAGAAGTGGCTTTAGTGTGAGGTGGGAGCCACACTTAACTGTTGGTGTAAGGGTGAGTTTTAAAATGTAGTCAGGAACTGTGGCAATAGTAGGTTCTCCTCTAAGATCCATAACATCATTAGTGCCGGGGAGTTGGCTGGGTTTCCAGTACCAGGCATGATTTCCCTCCTATTGAGCTGGCCTTAAGTCCAATTAGGGAACTCAGGTGCAAGCCAGCTTCCCTACTCTGAGGCCAAGAGCAAAGTGCTGAGCTTTCTAATCATGTAAAGGGGCTGAGGGAAACTCATGCCAACCCCTGCTAAGGCTATAAAACCATGAGGTTGGCATGCATACAAGAAACTACGACGGAGCCAGGGATATGTGTGGAAATCTCACACCGGCGGGGCCAGAGCACCATAACTAGAGAAACATGGATTCGCTCCAGATTAGACCATCTGTATAGACCACTCTGCCTCTGGGTGTTTGGAAGCTCAGCATGATAAATAAGGAAGTTATGGCTGTTTGCTTTCAAGAAGACATTGGGAAGAGGATCTGGTAGACATGCGAGGTGAATTAGAACTCTTAAGCAGCTTTTATAATCAATAAATTAAATAAGCTCTGGACTAGACACAACTGAGGTAAGAATGAAGTTAATAAATTAGAAGACAGTACTGAAAATTTCGTGCAATGTACAGTATAAAGAAAGTGCTTGGATTGGCAATGTGATTTATATTCTTGCAGAGCTTCTATAAGGAAGATGCCTTGTTTTGTTAATTTTTAAAATAAAAATAGTAGCATATACAGTTTACAGTTTGCATCTCCAGTCGTAGCCAGTTAGAGAAAAGTACCATTTACTCAAATACAACTTAGAGAAGCTTACTCTAAACTACAGGAAGACTTGAGAGACTTGACTAACACACTTGATCGTAGAGGGAACCCTAAAGAGTCTGAAAATTTCAAAATGGGTGTCTCTTAAAATTCGGTTATATCCAAAACAGACCATATCTAAAATCAGCTGCTTTAACAGGTCTCTACCACATCAGAGGCAAAGTTTAGCTAATTCTGAGTGGAACCTATCATAAAAAATAGTTGTGTGTATTTAAATATGAGCATATCAAGGGCTGATGAATGAATAAAGGTGCTTACCGAAAGCCTGCCAACCTGAGTTTAATCCCTGGGACCCGTGTCCCATAAGTTGTCCTCTGGTCAGCACATACTCAGCATGGCACAATAATTGCATCATTTCTCCCTTCCCTTTCCTCCTTCCAATCCCTCCCATATACCGTTCCTTGCTCTCTTTCAAATTCATGGCTACTTTTTTCATTAATTGTTGCTACATGCATATGAATATGTGCATATATATCCCTATATCCAACCTGCTCAGTTTGTGTCATGTTACTTTAAGGTACTTTGTCATTGTTCTAGTTTTGTGAAGAGACATTGTGACCAAGGAAACTCTCAAAAAACATTTAGTGGGGTCTTGCTTACAGTTGCAGATGATCTCTAGGCAGAACAGAAAAAGCGAGCCTGAGCTTGCTGTAAGCTTATGAACCCTCAAAGCCCAACCTAAGCGACACACTTTCTCCAACAAGGCCACACCTCCTAATCCTTCTAATCCTTTCAAATAGATCCACTCTCTGGTGACTAAGCATTAAAATATATGAGCCTGTGGGGGCCATTCTTATTCAAACCGCTATAGTTTATTTTTAGGGCTGGCTATTTGGTTATAGATAGCCAAATGGTGTACTCTTACTTGAGGAAGACTATTTTTCCCATCATCAGCATTCCTTAGACCTCACCTCAACCCTACACAAATAGTTTATTCTTTTTTAAATTCATTTTGGTTGGGGCTAGGGAAATATCTCAATAGGTAAGATGCTTAGCATGCAAGCATGGGGACCTAAGTTTGATCCTGAGACCCCACATAAGAGTAAAAAATAAATAGCATGAACTTGTAATCCTAGGAGAGGTGGAGACATAGGGATCTTTGGGGTTTGTTAAACAGCCATTGTAGCTAACGGGCAAGTCCCTGTCTCATAAAAATAAGGTGACTAACTCCTGAAGAATGCTACTGGAGGTTGACCAGTAGTCTCCCCATGCATATGCATGCACACACATGTGTACCTGCACATGTTAAAAAAAAAACATGTTTTTAAATTCAAAAATGAATTTGAACATTAGTCTAAAGCAGAGTAGGAGCCAGGGGTGGTGTCTCATGCCTGTAATCCCAATCCTTAGGGGTGAGAAACAGGAAATCAGGGTTCAATGTTATCATCAGCTACATAATAAATTCAAAGTCTGCCTTGAACTATGTGAGACTTTGTCTCCTAAAAGCGAAAGGATATAAAGCAAGAGGAAAACAATTTTTTGAGTGAATATTCTCCAAAAGGAATGATCAGTCATGAGTTTAACATTCCTCAAAGCCCTGGGCCCATCCATAGTAACAGTAATTTGACTGTGCCGTGCCATCCCCAAGAATATCTGGTTTTTTAGCTTTTCCTTACTGAGGGCCAGGGTACAAGATAACCAAATCCCCTGAGGATCTTTCCATAAATTCTAAGTCTGACCTGATGGCTTAAACCTCTTCTAGTGTCTGTAGAGAATTTTTTTCACTCCTAAAAATGTGGCAGGCTCTTGGTGTAGTCCTCTAAATATGTGAGGGCTTTGTGTCCCCAAAAGAATCTCTCCAGTATTTTATTCATCACATGCAAGTATGACCAACCACTGTTACTGTGATTTGAAAGCCTACATTTGCTGCAGAAGGCCACATCCCCTCCGTTGCTCAATGCCACAGAAAACATAGACAATTAATTGATTCTTCCAAGCACCAGGCTGCTTAGATATACTGCAGAATTCAACCTCCCTCCTCTTTCACTTACCACATCCATTTTTCAAGCTTTTTAAAGATTTTTCTTCCTCTGAAAATGGCCTCCATTAACCTCATGGAAATTTTCAGGAACCACTGTAAAAAAGAACTCCAAAGTGACTCTCTTCCCTCCCAGGAAAGAGCCATGATGGCAACTGTCATTTCCTTCTGTTTCCCTTCCTATGCCACTACTGGGAAATGAAAAGAAATTCATAATTGGGACTTGGGCTATTCCATCTGCTCTGAGGTCACTTGGTTGTGTTTCTCTCAAGGGCTGTAAATCATACTCCATTAGTCAGCTTCCAGATCTCAGCCCAAGACTGGAAACCCCATGGTGGGTACTACCACAGAGAGAATAATTGCAGGTAAATGATTTATTTTTTCCTGGTCTAATAAAAAGTCATGAAGGCTGGTTACTGGAGTTCTTTAAGACATTAGACCCAAGCCAGCGGATAACTAAGAACAATAGGCAATTTATAAAGGAGAGAAGCACAGAGCAAAGTAAATGGTGCATAAAACGAGAGCCAGCGGGACTTCACAATGGGATCAAAACACACTGTCTGAAGATTCCAAAGAAATGATACTGTTTTTAATCCAGGAATTTTAGTTTACAAATTAAATCAACCCAGTTTTAAAGCTAGACACAGACACAGGGACATTGGCTGTTTGAGGCAGCTCCGGGATTGTAGGTCCTCATCCTGTCCCCACCGGACATCTCAGGACATTTGGTAATCCAGTGTTGTCTCGAGTTTGTCGCTCTGTAGGCACAGACTGGTAAGGGTGCTCTTGTCTCTGGAAGGTTCTGCAGTTGGATAAGTTTTGTGTACACACTGTAGCCACCGAGGCTTCAGCTCACAGTGGCACTATAGAGAGAGCACAGGCTCTTTGCCAGGCCAGCACTTCCCAAATACTCCCTGAGTTCTAGAACACTGTCTGCTAAATGCACTTCACAAAACTCCACAAAGCTTTCTGGGATAGCTCTCTTGAGTGTGTTACACGGTCACCCGGTGTCTCCATTTCCCAGATGCTAAGACTACAAATGGAGGTCACCAGGCCACTTCCTTCTCTGTGTTTCCAGCGAATTTTCGATACCTTACAATTCTTACTGTGTTGCAAACATCATGAGGAAAGTGCTGTCATACTGTTTATGTGGAATTATCCCAAGAAAAAGTCTGTGCATGCTCTCTGCAGACCCAACCTTACAGGCCAGATTACATTTGCTGCCTGTGATTGATTGACTCCACGGATGCAAACCCACAGGTCCAGCTGTACTCTACTCCTTCCTGTCTTTGGGGAGTCATTGTTACTCATCAACAAAAAAATATATATATATTCTGTGCTTAAGGAAACACCGGGAGGATTTTTGTATTTTGGGTTGGTGTTTTTTCCCAGATTTTCAACTAATAATGTTACTAAACTAAGTCTTATTAAATCCAGGATGTTTAATTAATCCACCGTACCTTCTGCTAATTTTCCAGGACACAGTGATTTATGAACGACTCGCAGAGACTTCAAAATACAAAGAAATCACCCTAAAACATTTAGAACAGTTTGCTACAGAAGGTGAGCATTATGTGGAAATAGATCATGACTGAAACACAAAGAAATCATGTATGTTTGATATCTTGCAGGGTCATTAACAGTTTTACTTCCAAAGTCCTTAGGTGGATCAATGATTACTGATGAAACCTTATGTATTCCTATGTACTATTCCTACATGTTTTTTCCTTAAGGGGGAAAAAAAAAGCCATTATTAAAATGTTGAGAGACTTTGGCCACCATTTGAAGTAGTAAGACCTTTAAGTCTGTGTTCCTTTTTAGAATGGATACCATTTGGCTTGTATGTCATGGAATTAAGAAAAATAAAATAACTGAGCTTCTGTAATCTGGATAGTAAAAAAGAAATACCTATATTATTATGTAAAAAGTTATACTATGATAAGTTGACTTTTTTTTATTGAGCCCCATCACATGCCATTGTCTGTGTGAGGCCCAGGAGTCTGTAGTAAATAAAATCAGTCCCATAACTGTGCTCCTGAAATACGTGATAATGTATGAGCCCGGTGATGCAGGGTCTAAGGAGTTCTGCATTAGAAGAGTGAAAGGGGTCGTTAACAATTCTGGTCTGCTTGATTGTAGCATCACAGAGTAACTAAATCTCCCATCTCCATGTTCACTCCTGTTTCAGCTAGCCCCACCCCTGCTCAGGTCCTTGTTTCTTTATAATTAGGTCTTTGAAAAGACAAGAATGTTTTCTAAAAACATTAGACCAAAATAAGTGTCAGGACCCAGTGTTCTCCAAGTTCCCAAGAATTCAAGAACTCAGGAACCTACAATGCCCTGGCTGGGTGCGCCAAGTTTGAGCTGCCCAACCTGTAGGTCATACAGGTTTGAGTTGGAGATCTGGGGCCTGGGGTTCTGGACACCTCCACCCTGGTAACAATATTACCCAGGCTCTGGTTCCCTCGTTTGAATTGGTTTGGCCCCCACCACAACCCCTTTCTTTCGGCCATTGGACTGAAGAAAACTTCTGTTCCCATGCTGCCCCCAAGTAAGTTTCCAGCCACATTCCCAAAAGAGGGAAAGAAAAACTGCTGTAATACAGCCCGCAGGTTTAAGTTCCACCAAGTGACCCAACGGTCAGGAACTCTGCTCCTCTCTCAGGAGGTAATACTGTCTCGCTGACGGTGAGGTAGTGTAAAGGGAGGTAAATGAATGCCCTGGGCAGTGAGTGCAGGAAACCCCAGGAATTGAATGGCCAGGAGTATGGGGGACACTTGAAGGGTATGAGCCACACTCCAGGTTTGGGACTTCATCCTGGGGAACAGCTGGGGGATTTCAAAAACAAGAACAGCTTGCTAAGACACTGCTTTTAGAAAAGTCATCCTAGATGTGGAGGAAAGGTTTGAAAGGTCTTGGAATTGTAAGCAAGGTCACAAACTTAAAAGCTGGAAGAGCATTCTAGACATTGAGATTTTGTCATAAACCGACACATCAGCAAATCATTTGAATTCAATGAGACCACCCAAAATTGGATTTTGATAAGCAATGGAAAACGTCAGACTTGTGACTAAACCTTCTGCGGTGTGCCGGGGCGTGCCGCCTTCCACAGGGCTGAGAACTCTGTGTTTTGCTGTGGCTGAGATCTCCGAGAGTGACTTCGAGGAGTGGCGAGCCGTCTACCAGCGAGCGTCCACCTCGGTGCAGAACAGGCTGCTGAAGCTGGAGGAGAGCTACGAACTCATCGAAAAGGTAGGGAGTTATCACCTACGGAAAACGCGTTCCCTCAGATGCACCGTCTTTGCTCAGGGACCAGTAGAATCAGAAACAGGATATGTGGTAGGTTGCTGGTGGCTGTCTAGGGGTTGGCTGAGTTCATTTCCTGGCGTGCACCAGGAGAGACAGAGAAAGGCAAAGAAGCGGCTCAACCCTGCAGGCTGGGAAGGGCCCGAGGATGAAGTTCTCCGTGTGGATGTTGGCTTGGGTATGTTATAGGGCCCCTGGGTCCTTTCTCCTTCAAGGTCTCCTCACAGTGCTCTCCGGGAGTGAGAAGCCGCAGTCCCAGGGAGCCTGCTTTCTCTTTGCTTAACTACCTGTGACTCTGACCCCCACTCAGCTGTTTTCTCAAGACTTGCTGTTGATTCTCAAGATCAACAAATTCGTGTCTTCTTGCTGAAAGGGCCTAAGGACTGGGAGTTGTTGTGTTTGGAGCGTCAGTCTTTGCAGTTTTATGACGTGATTCGGCCGCTCCAGCAGTCCCCCTGCCAGTGCATCCCATAGTTTCTGTATCACCGACGACACAGGCACATAGGAACATACACACGGACATGTGGGGACATACACACAGACACATATACATGAGAACATATGCACATGCAGCACAGACACATTTGCGCACACACGCAGAGAAATACACAGAGAGACATAACTATGCAAGCACAGACAAAATTCATACATTCATAATTAACATTTATGTAATATGAAGTAGTGCAGCTCTGTGGGTTTGTGATGAACAGTAACACAACAGCGAATAACCTGGAAATTCCTCCGTACGCCTTGGGCTGCAACCACTTCCTGTGTCCCTTCAGCGTGTCCGCCAAATACCTCTATTTTTACACTGAGCCGGGTGGTGGTGGTGCACACCTTTATCCCAGCACTCAGGAGGCAGAGGCAGGAGGATCTCTGTGAGTTCAAGGCTAGCCTGGTCTAGAAGAGCGAGTTCCAGGACAGCCAGGGCTATACAGAGAAACCCTGTCTCAAAAGCCAAAAAAAAAGTCAAGTCTGTTGAGGTTGGTGGTGACAGATACCCTGTGATTGCTACTGTATCACTAGCAAGAACTCATGTGTCCCTAATTAACAACGGTATGCATTTAGTGTAGTCCCGACTATGTGCCTCGTGGTATAGTAGCACTCTCATCTGCTAACATGTTTAACCATTTTGAGGAGTTAGTTGTCCCTACATGCGGATGAAGAAGCCCGGTGACAGAGAGGCTGACACTGAACCAAGGTCACAGAGAGCCTTAGCCAGAGCCCCATGCTCTGCTGTAGTCAAGGGCCCTCACTCTAGCTTGACACTCAGTCACTGCTCAGTTACCTGACCCCCCAGTGTCTTCCTGGGGTGCGGCATAGGATCAGAGAACCATCAGGGTACAGTGTGATCCACCTGTCATGGCTGCAGGTGGGGGAGGCTGACGTTTTCTCCTCTCTGCCGTGAAACTAGGTACTTTCTGTGTCGGAAGGCAGTTAGTACCCAGACCTCCCAGGACTAGTTCCCCTTCACCCACACGCACCCACCCCGCTCCCCACATCCTTTACCTAGAGATACACATCTATGATTTAAAACTTTCACCTTTTAACTGGGATACACCTTCAATCTTTGTCCAGCAGATGGCGATCGTGAGTTACATTAAAATTTAAGTTCCTTGCAAACTTGCTTTTTTTTTTTTTTTGTTAAATAGTATACAAATACAGAAACCTCCTAAAGACTGCCTCATAAAAGAATGGGGGAAAAAAGTAATATAGAGCTAGCTGATACTTTAGCATGTGTGATTAGCCCGGTGTTGCAAACTCTAAGATGTAGAAGTGCAGGGAGACAGGTCTGGTCCTAAGCAAAGCTGTTCCAAATAAGAACAGGGTTTTGTATGGCTCCCTACTCCTGACATAGGGTTCTCCTTCATGCATTCGCTTGACCAACATTTACCGAATGATTAAGGTACACTAGACCACAGGGTGACTAAGCGAATGAGGAAAACTCCCTGAGGCCTCTAGACACCACTGTGGTCTGCACTGATTCCCTAGGTGAGGGACTTCAAAGGGAGCTTTTAAAATGGCCCTCCAAACGTTATTTTGCCAGTTACAGTCATCTTTGACAGACTAGGCAAAATTGGACCAAAACAACACAGTGTCCAGGTTCCTGAGTTAGTTTTCCCGGACAGTGTCCGTGCCAGCCCCATTCCTTTGTGGACTGCGGGGTTTTACTGTGTGAAAACCTGAGCAGGATGGCTCTGCTGTCTGTCTGAGTTTCCCCTCGGTGTTAAAATCAGCTGGATCTGCTCCCAGAATCTCTGTGTGGTTACTGGGCTCCTTGCAGACAGCCTAGAGAGACACTTGGAACAAGAGAGACAGACCACCGGTTCCTTCGGTGTTCCGTCTGACTTTAAGCGTAGCTGTCACAGGCTGAGTTCATCCACCTTAGTGTCTTTGGCTGAGACACGCTGCTTGTGTGCTCTATTCCTTATGTGGTTGGAATCCACTAGCATGTAGACTGTAGTGGTGGACTGAAAATGGAGGCCAGTTATTTTTGAACTGTGAGAGTGGTTTTTGCTTTTCTTTTTCCTTTTAGAACAGAGTCCATTTTCCAAACAAAACACCAGCTGAATCATAAGATATACAACTGACAACAGCCAAGGGGCTCCAGTTAGCATGAAGGGTAGAGAGAAGCCCCAACGGCTCTCCTCTCTGCCTCCTCCTTGCCTCGGGGTGGTCCATGAAGGGCTTCACAGGACTCTGGGCTCCTCTGAGTGCAGTATGAAAACCATATCGTGTTACATCTGTGTGTGGATGTTTTAGAAATGTGCTTTTATAAAAGATCAGAGCATCATTGTCATGCAAGATGCTTCCGAGCATATTTGAATTAGTGATATGAGATGCCATGGACATGGTAATCATGTTACATTGAAAACATTCTAAATTGGAAAGATGTGTAGAGCTTCTCCTAGAAAACAAAAGTTTTAATATATGACAGAGCAAGTGAAACTTTTACAGAATAATTAAAGTTGCGGTTAGAAACTCTATAAAGTCTCATATCCCTCCAGTATTTGTCCAAACCAGTAACTTGGTTTTGAAAACTGAATTAAAGCCTTCTTCCTTTGGGGGTTATAACTCCTGCATAAGCTTGAAAGTATGTGGATAGGTGTGGAGGCACAAGCCTTTAATCCCAGCACTCAGGAGGCAGAGGCAGGGGATCACTTGGGAGTTTGAGGTCAGCCTGGTCTACATAGACAGTTCCAGGCCCACTGGGGCTACATGGTGAGACTCTTTCTCAAAAAGAGGGATTGATGGGTGGGTAGATGGATAGGTAGGTGGATGGGTGGACGGATAGGTAGATGGGTGGATAGATGATGGATGGATGGATGGACAGACGGACGGACGGACGGACGGACGGACGGGTGGATGGATGGGTGGATGGATGGGTGGATGAATGGTAGGTAGATCGATCTAAATAGTCCATATCCAAGAGAATACTGACGTTCATCCTCTGCTGGGGCCCTGTTACTTTTCTCCCAGGACATCTGTGTCTTAGTATACACCAGCTTTACCCTCGAGGGCCACACTATAGGACAGGGAATACAACAGGTTCAAAAATGGCCCAGATACTGGCCTCTCTGTTGACAGTTCTTGTTAGAGAAGATCTGGGATTTTAGCATCTATCTGTAAAATGTATCCACGGTTGTTCAAAGACAGTGCGCTTTGGGTGCATGCCTTTGATTCCTCTTCAGAATAGTAATCTAACACTGGGGTTTGTTTCAGGAGTCGGTCGCTAGTACTTGGTTACCGAATATAAGGAGAACGGGGCACTTATGGCTAGGAAAGGCCAAGTCCTCAACAGTTAGGAAGTTGAGGGGATCCAGAAGTGGGGGAGGGGGGAGTCCTGGCAGGTCCTCCCACTCGTGACCCACTTTGTGGACTGCAGTGCCTTCTCTTCTCTCTTCGTCACAGCCTGAGAGAATTTACAGTTGTCTCATTCTGCAGACTTGACCTGTTTTGTTTCCCTCGCTTCGTCCTTTTGGAGGCCAGGCACTAGATTCAGACTCAACATTTCACTTATGAAACCACATCAGGTGTGCTGTCCGCTTTGAAAAATCAGATTATTTTTAAAACAAACTTGAGTGTTCAGTCTATTTATTTACATGTGCTCAGAAAATATAAGTAGCAATAAACAGAAGGTTTTGAAGTTCCATTGGTAATTGTTTCTCACCTTCTTACTGTAATCTGTGTCTTTAATTCTATTCTAACATTTCTAAGACATAAATCACTTTTGCTTTATCCTCAGAAGCTGCTGCTGTATTCTTTGAGATTAACAGAACACGGGACTCTGGTTTTACCTTCACACAAATAAACCATTGGTTGAAATATGATCGTGAGTTTTCAGGGTACATACAGGGCTGGGCTTTTTTTTTTTTAGTATTTATATTAACTTGTTTCAATAGGGAAAAATTACATCTTTAGCACTGCACAGGTGGCCTGTTATGATGCCTTTGTTTGCAAATGTAGGTCATGCGCCTTAGGAGTCAGAGAAAGTGAGAGATGCAGCACCTATGCCCTGATGGACACATTACTTCCATGGTGATAAAAGTTTTATCTCTTATTTCAAGTTGTGGGTTGGGAAATACGTTTTTCAGAGTGAACCTTTGAGCCAGAGGATCTTTTGTGAGCTGGGAGTGAAATCAGAATGCTGGGGTTTTGGTATCATCTAGCCCCGCTTTGTGTTCTGTGATTAATGTAGATCATCCACTAGACCCGAGCTTCATGCTGGCTTGGCTGTCATTATCATATTCATCATCCTGTCCCCACCCAGTGTTTGACGTCTGGCCTGTGTTAATCACTCGGTAAATATTTGATGAATAAATGAACTATTCAATTAAGTAAATTATTCAGAAACTAGAGCCTAATTAAGTGATTTCCTAATGAATATCTGCCCCCTAGTTCTAATTTCATGCTTGCTGTCCAAGCACTGATGACCTGGGCATCAG